GCACCATGTTTTTTTATCTAGTATTATAAAACCCCAAAGCATTACCAATCTGAGAGTTTGAAAATATGTTAGCCTTTAGTCGCAATATTTTGTACTAAAAAGAAATCTGAATGTTTATTTTACTTTTCATGTTTCATACATTATTTGTTCTATCATGTCTATTAAAGATCTTTTCTCAATTCTGATATAAACTGTGATTTGCATTATATATTCTGTAAATATTTTTTCCTCTAAAAGACCAATTGAAAATTTCATAGTTATCAGTTAATTGGAACTATTTATAGATTTTCAGTAAAATATAAATAAGATAGTTATGCAGCAAAATTAATTGTATTTGTTACAACAAAGCAATCGTTCATATGGCTTTTCAGTAAGGTGTATTTTGTTTGTAATATGCTTACTTAAGGTAATTATAAATTACTTCAACAAAATGGATTAGGTCCATGGATGTATGTAGCTAGAAAATGACCTTGGTATTGCAGAATACTAATTTAATGTTTTGATATCATTTCAGGCAACATTTCATTTGTTGCATTTCCAGTTTCCAATACCAACTCACCTACAAAGATTTTACCAAAAACCTTAGGACCAATCAATGTGAATGTTGGACCCCAAATGGTAAGAAAATTATTAAATCTTAGAATTGAAACTTTGTTTAGCTAAGACTAATTTAAAGACGTTTGATCAGATATTCCAGTTAAGTCGGATATGGTAGGTGGCTCACGCCTGTAATGCCAACACTTTGGGAGGCCAAGGCAGGTGGATCACTTGAGCCCAAGAGTTTAAGACCAGCCTGGGCAACATGGTGAAACCCTGTCTCTACAAAAAACAGCTGGGCACTGCAATGCATGCCTGAAATCGCAGCTACTTGGGAGACTGAGGTGGGAGGATTGCTTGAGCCCAGGAGGTCAAGGCTGCAGTGAGCCGTGTTTGCGCAACTGCACTCCAGCCTGATACAGCAAGGCCCTGTCTCAAATAAATAAATAAATAAATTTAAAAATTCTAATTAATTTTAGTTACCTGAGTCACTTTTTAAAAACATTTTGTTTTTATCTGAATGTATCTGGTCAAGTCTTGAGCTTGAGTAAAAGAAAGGCATTGTGCTCTCTAATATTTAATTTTCACATATTTGAATCTGTGGACTCTGGATGTGTATTATTAAGGTTTTTACTCTTTATGTGAGATTTCTCTTGTATTTAGTTGTTAAGTTGATTTGAAATGTATTATACTTTATGTCCTCCTCCTTTTTTATTTTTCTTATAAAATAACCTTTACGACCCTAAACTATGTATTCTCACATAAATGTGACCTAATAGTTAATCTACATCTGGAGTGATTTAAAACTCCTTCCATTAAAGACTTTTGGGGAAAAAACAATATACCAATTCATTTTAATCTTTAGCAGTAGAGATAGTGAATGAAAACTGGAAAACAACTGTTTCTCTAAGTGCATTCGTTAACTATGCTTAGAGCTTAAAGTGTGTAGCACTTTCGGAAGACTTATTTATAAACAAGATTGCATTCACCTACTCTGAAACTGTGTCTAATTTAAGTGGCCTCACCCACCATTAGTAAAAGTACTTAAATATCTAAGCAGTAACTCTTCGTTGTCAGTGTCATCTTTTCATCTATAGAGCAGTGCAGATAAATTTTGCCCATGATGTACAACAGCACCGTGGACTATGTTAAATGCAAAGTTATTTAGACAAAGATATCTTTTAACGTACTTAATGGTTTCAGAAAGTCTTTAGGACACATTCTAGACATGACATTTTCCTTGGTTAGTTGAGGACTGTTTATCATCTGCAGAAATCAAGCTAAAGATACAACACAATTTACTGTAAGTATGTGAAGAATATAATCTAGTACTAAACCTCATAGAGGTTTAAGCTTAAATAGGAGCCCTCATTTTAAGGTAGCTCACGTTATATTTTCAGACATTTGCTAAGCATTTGCCTCTCCCCAACCACTACTATAGGTGAAGTGAGGTAAAGCACCCAACTTTTAAAAGTCTGCATTTTGAAATGTAATTATATAAGCATCAAAATTAAATATACTCAAACCTTTATGAGTCTTGCCCTTACAGAACTCTTACATTTTGAGAGATTATTTTCCCTTATTTTTTGTTTGTTTAATGCTGCTATACCCCAGATGTGAATTTCTCCTTTGGAAGCATATATAATTTTTCTCCCATTGTCAGTTTGAACGATCCCTTACACATCCAGTTCTGTTAATAAGTAGTGATGTATGGTACTAACTCGGTTACTGTAAATCTCAGGATCTGCAAAACAAAGGTCACAAGAAGGAGAGGAAATTTGGAGCTCTACCTTCAACCAGGTCATCCCAAGTCCTTAATTTACCTACTTCTAAGGTTCTTTTTTCAGTTCTGAGTTCTTGGGCAGGAATCATAATTTCCTTTTTGGCTTCCTAATTGTTATAAGACCCCATTGCTATCTCCTGGATGTGTCCCTCCAAAATTCATGTTGAAACTCAGTACCCATTGTGGTGGTCGTAAGGGGTGGGGCCTTTGGGGAAGAGATTAAGCTATGAGGGCTTCATTCTCTTGGATGGGATTAGTGACCTTATAAAGAAGTTGAAAGGATCTCTTTGCCCCCACTCTGCCCCACTTCTTGTAGTGAGGACACTACAAGAAGGCTCCATCTATGAAGCAGAGAGTGAACACTTCACTAGACACTAAGTTTGCTAGTGCCTTGATCTTGGACTTCCCAGCCACCAGAACTGTAAGAAATACATTTCTATCGTTTATAAATTACCCATACTCTAAGGTATTTTGTTATAGCAGACTAAGACAAAAATTAATACCAAGAACTGGGGTGCTGCCATGACAAACACCTAAAACTGTGGAAGTGGCTTTGAAACTGGATAATGTGTAGAAGCTGGAAGAGTTCAGAGGAACAGGCTGAAAAAAGCCTCTTGAGATGAGTAGACCATTAAGGGTGATTCTGGTGAGGAATCAGAAGAGGAGAGCTATAGAGAAAGCCTCACTCCTAATTAGAGATTACCTTAGTGGTTGTGAAGAGAATGTTGGCACAAATATGGATGGTAAAAGCCATTGTAATGAGGTCTTAGACAGGAGTGAGGGACATGTTATTGGAAACTGGAGGCAAGGCCATCCTTGTTACAGAACAGCAAAAGGCTGGGCACAGTGGCTCATTCCTGCAATCCCAACATTTTGTGAGGCCAAGGCAGGAGGATCTCTTGAGTCCAGGAGTTTCAGACCAGCCTGGGCAACACAGTGAGACTCCATCTCTACTAAAAAAAAAAAAACTTAAAAAATTAGCTAGGCTGGGTGCAGTGGCTAATGCCTGTAATCCCAGCACTTTGGGAGTCCAAGGCTGGTGGATCACTTGAGGTCAGGAGTTTGAGACCAGCCTGGCCAACATGGTGAAACCCCATCTCTACTAAAAATACAAAAATTAGCCAGACATGGTGGCAGGTGCCCGTAACCCCAGCTACTTGGGAGGCTGAGACAGGAGGATCATTTGAACCCAGGAAGCAGAGGTTGTGGTGAGCAGAGATTGCACCACTGCACTCCAGCCTGAGCAACAGAGTGAGACTTTGTCTCCAAAAAAAAAAAAAACCAAGCATTTTGGCACCTATAGTCATAGCCACTCAGGAGACCAAGGAGAGAGGATCACTTGGGCCCAAGATTTCAAGGCTGTAGTAGCCCGATTGACAGAGTGAGACTCTGTCTCAAAAAAATAAAACAATCAAACAACAACAAAAAAAGCGGCAAGGGACTTGAGTGAATTGTTTTCCTGTTCTAATGACGGAGGAACTTAGGAGCAGTGAAGTTGGATAATTGGCCAAAGAAATCTCTAAGCAAAGTGTTTAGGGATCAACATGGCTTCTCTTGGCTCTTTATAGTAAAATGTGAGAAGAGAGAAATAAAGATATAATTTATAATCAAAAGTGAAGATTTGGGAAAGTCTCAGCTTGGTCATGTAAAGAATAAAAAAGCATGTTCTAGAGAGAACACCAAAAGAGTGGCGGAGTCACCTTTGGATAAGGAGATTAACGTGGATGGGTAGAAGCTTGGTGCTGTTCTTCAAAACAATGGAAGAATAAACCCACAGCATTCAGTGATTACCAGTGCTGTCCCCTGCCCCCATCACAGGCCCAGAGTACCAAGGCATGGGGGACAGAACTATCAAAGAGGGGCTTCAGGCGCTAATGGAACACTGGTAATCCCAGCCTGGCACTGTGTCAAGTCTTCTCCCCAAATTTTGGCACAGTGCTCCTTAGCCATTCCAGGTGTGGCTCCAGTAGGCCCAGGTATAGTGCAAGTCACAGTGGCTGCTGCTCTAAAGGGCATAGGTGGTGAACCTTGGCAGTTTCTGAGTGATGCCATCTCCAACAGGTGTAGAGTGCACAAGCTGCGGGGTATGGTAACTTCCACCTAGATTTCAAAAGATGCCTTGGAGAGCCTTAACAGATCCTGGCAGAGAATTGCTACAGAGGTGAGGCCACCACTAGGAACCCTCACTAGGGCAAAGCTTAGTGGAGCTGAGCAGGGCAGGGTCACTCCCTGAAGCCCTAGTCTACTAGAGCTTCAGCATACAACTCCAGCCTGGGAGAGCCACATGCAGACCCAACCCAGGAGAACTGCAACATGGGCGGTCCCCAGTAAAGTCATGGGGGTGGGGGCTTCTGGTACCTCGGGGCCCAGCTCCTGCCCCAGTGTGTCCAGAAGGCAGGATATCAAGTCAAAGATTATTGTGAAGCCTTAAAAGTTAATGTTTGCCCTGTTGGGTTTTGGATTGGTTGGGACCTATTATCCCTTTCTTCTTTTCTGTTTTCTTCTTTTTGGAATGGGAATGTCTGTTCTGTGCCTGTCCCCTAATTGTATTTTGGAAACAGGTTGGATTTCACAGGCTCACAGCTGGAGGGGAATTTGCCTCAGGATGAATTGCACCTTTGAGTCTTACCCATATCTGATTTTGGGAAGGAGTTAAGACTTGTAAGACTATTGGAATGAAATGAATGCATTTTGCCTGTGAAATAGACATGAATTTTAGAGGGCCAGGAACTGAATGCTCTGGTCTGAATGTGTTCCTCCAAAATTCATGTTGAAACCTAATCCCTACTATGGTGGTATTAAGAGGCGGGGCCTTTTGGGAAGTGATGAAGTCATGAGGGCTTCACCCTCATGAGTGGAATTAGTGCCCTTATAAAAGAGGTTGAAGGGAGCTCCCTGGACCTTTTCTGCTATTAGGATGCAACCAGAAGGCATCATCTTTGAAGGAGAGAATAAGCCCTCACCAGGCACTGAATCTGCCAGCGCTTTAAGTTTGGACCTCTCAGCAGCCTCCAGAACAGTGAGCAATAAGTTTCTGTGGTTTGTAAATTGCCAAGTTTTATACTCCTTGCAAAAGACTTTAAAGAAAATTAATTAATTACTCAATCTAAGGTGGTGTGTTAAAGTAGCCTGAATGGACTAAGACACTCAGAGCCATTTATTGGTTCTCCTAACCCCCTTCATCCATGATTTTTAAAAAAGTTTTTGTTTAGTTAAAGAATTATTGGATAAAATCTCATCCATTTACTTCTTAGCCTTCTTTTTCTACTTGCCCTTTTAACTTTACATGTCTTTTGGAAGCTAAATCTTAATGGTAGATAGGAATTTCAAAAAGCCCCGTGAAAAGTTTTCATTTGTTTTCTGTGGTTATGGAAACTAGTTTAGCGGTACCTATTTTAGTCTGAGATACATGCCCTTTTCTTACAGGTTCTCTTATGGTTGTGTAAGTTATGGATCTTATGATTATATATACAGTTGACCTTTGAACAATGCGGGGATAAGGGCACAGCCCCTGTGCAGTCAGAAATCCACATATAACTTTTGATTCCTCCAAAATTTAACTATTAATACCTTCTTATTGATTAGAAGCCTTACTATAAATATTGTTGTTTTGTATGTTAATATGTATTACATACTGTATTCTTACAATAAAGTAAGCTAGAAAAACTATTACTAAGAAGATCATTAGGGAAATACATTTATAATTTATTAAGTGGAAGTGAACTATCATAAAGGTCTTCATCCTCGATGTCTTCATATTGAGTAGACTGAGGAGGAGAAAAAGGAGGAGTTGGTCTGGCTGACGCAGGGGTGGCAGAAGTGGAAGAAAATTCGTGTATAAGTGGACCTGTCTAGTTCAAGCCCATGTTGTTCAAGGGTCAATTGTATAAGATAATCTCATGGCTGTATTATTTTAGAAGAGTAAAAACTGTATGCTTCTTACAGTGAAAACCAAAATTCCATCAAATAGTGAAATCTCTTAATATACCACTTTATAATTTTGTAACTTTTTCCCTTTAGAATACATATGCTATCTTGGCTTTTTAAACTGTAGATGGCAGTAGTACATAAAATATCTTGATTGAGGGCAGGAAAATGTTCAGAATAATGTTCAATTGCTATGTGATTTTCCCAGCCTAACTAATTCTATTGTCAGAGAAACCACATGATAACATTTTAAATTAAGGATGTCTGGATTGGAACGTAGGATTTGCAGTAATTAAAGTGAAAAAAAAAAAAAAAAAAAGAAAAAAAAGTCTGGATTTTTGGTAGGGGACTCTGATATTTAAAACTCCATTATCCTTATTGTATCAAGTGAATATTAAAAGTATGTTTTTACCTCCAACTTTAATACTTCAGTTTGGGCTTTTTTTTTTTTTTTTTTTTTTTTTGAGGTGGAGTCTCACTCTGTCACCCAGGCTGCAGTGCAGTGGCACAATCTCAGCTCACTGCAAACTCCACTTCCTGGGTTCAAGCGATTCTTCTGCCTCAGCCTCCTGAGTAGCTGGGATTATAGTTGTTCACCACAATGCTCACCTAATTTTTTGTATTTTTAGTAGATATGGGGTTTCACTATGTTGGCCAGGCTGGTCTTAAACTCCTGAGCTCAAATGAGATAGACCTGCCTCAGCCTCCCAAAGTGCTGGGATTACAGGAGTGAGCCACCGCACCTGGCCTGGGATTTCAACATTAGGTTCAGGGTTAGAAAGCATGACTGGCTCATCACCCTATAAACCAATTTTCTTATATTCTGTGACTGTTCAAGTTTCACTGGCTTTCCTTTTGTTTTTATTTCTTACATTTCACTCTCATTATCCTAGTTTAGGAACTTATAGCATCTCATAAGCTTTTTGACTTTATCTTTCCAATTCAAGTGTGTCATCTCTCCAATTTGTTCATGCAGGGAATGTTTATTAAGGAATTGCTATGTACCAGGCCCTGTGCTAAGAGAAGGGAGCAGAGTGTTGCTAATCACTCGCCGATCAGCAAAATAATATCAGCTAACAATCTGACAGTGAGGAAGGGAAAACAAGAAAATGTAAACTAGAATTTACTTTCAAAGTCATTTTCATAAAGAGAGACAGTTTTTCTCTATGTCCTGTTTCCCTTGTTCCTTTCTTTTTTTCTTTTCTTTTTTTTTTTTTTTTTTTGAGGTGGAGTCTCCCTCTGTTGCCCAGGCTGGAGTGCAGTGGCATGATCTCAGCTTACTAAAACCTCCTCCTCTGGCACCTGGGTTCAAGTGATTCTCCTGCCTCAGCCTCTGCGGTAGCTGGGATTATAAGCACCTACCCCCACACCTCACTAATTTTTGTATTTTTAGTAGAGACAGGGTTTCACCAGGTTGGCCAGTCTGGTCTTGAACTCCTGACCTCAAATGATCCACCTGCCTCTGCCTCCCAAAGTGCTAGGATTACAGGTGTGAGCCACTGTGCCCAGCTTCTTTCTTTTTTTTTCTACAAAGCCCTGTAAATCAGCAAAACCAAGCATGTAGGCTGCTAATACCATATAGGAAAAGATCTCCTCAGTAACAATACTCCAGGAGTAATACAATCTGTTTCAAGGGTAAATTGGAATGCTTAGAATAGCTTTGTAGACACTCCGGTTCAAGGAATAGAGTCGACCGGAGGCTAATCAGATAACTCACATTTTTCTTCATAAGCTGTCTATACCCAAGGTCAGCATGATACAGAATGTGATGTTGTGATTGGTGGAAACTATGCTTTCTATATATATATATATATTTTTTTTTTAGTGGACTTTATATAATCCTTTTAGCATATCAGTAAATGAAGGTCCTTTTTTCCCCTATTACTTTAAAAGTTGAGTATTTTATCCCAACAGTAAATATTTATTGTGCCTTTCCTAAGAGCTTCCTGCCACTGTGTTAAACTCTGCAAAGAACTTAGTTTAGCAAGGTACTCTCCACCCTTAAAGATCCTGCACTGAAATGAAAGTGGAGATGCAGGACCAGACATGTGGAGTGGGAAGTGCAAGCATACTTAGAATGCAAGGCAGAATTTGATAAGAGGTACAAACACATTGTCTGACTTTATGTTTTCTCACTAGGAAAACTTCTGAGCGCCTTATTTAATACCCTTGGTGTATCGTACATAATCAGAACTCTCCAGACATCTGTCAGAATTAGTATCATTTGTTTTTATTTTTTTAAACTATAGAATGAACTTCTTAAAACTATTTCATAAATATTTGTAGGTACTAACATCTTCCTGCCCCAAACTAACATAATGTCAAAACATGAACAGAAGCTAACTAAGGTTGTTAAATACTTGATAAATGAATAAATATTGACTAGACTTTAATAACTAGGTCTGAACTATTTTTATACTACAGAGGTTATTGTTTGACTCTTTCCTTCAAATGCAAACGGAGGGCTTGAAATGCTTATGAATCCTTCCCTTTGGTTATGTATGTGGCAAGTCAGCAATGAACTTAATGATTCCCCCTGGCAGCAGAAACAGGTTTCATTTGGTCAGGGAGATAAAAATTAATTAGCATTTTGTCTTGCATAAGACAGTAGGGAAATACAACTATTTCTCTTGTTTGAGGATTTATTAACAATTACATGTAGTCCCTGTAGATATTTTTCTCTCTTAACTGGGACTTAAAACTTACTATCATGAACGCTTTCAAAACTTTACAAAAATAGAACTATATACCCAGCAGTTGCTTCAACAATTATCCACATAGGAGCCAATCATTTTACATTAATATCCTCATTCACTGGATCATGCCTCTTCCTTTTTTTTTTTTTTTTTTTTTTACATGAAAATACTTCTGAAGTCATTACTAGGCGGCTAGTTTTTTTTAATGTTAATTACTATAAATGTCTTCGGAAAAAACGTGTTTTGTTTTTTTTTTAAACCAGTGAAAATTTTAAGACTTGGAAAGCAATTTGGTAACACATATAAGGTACCTTTTAAAAAAGTCTTTAGGGATTCCATTAATCCCCTTTCTGGAGTCTAGCCTTAGGAAATAGAAATTAAGGGCAAGGTCTTTGTACAAAAATGTTTATCACAGCATTCTTTATAATAGTAAATAATTAAAAATCCATATATATCTAGTAGGGAATAATAAATCCACATGGTAGAATGTTTCATGGTCATATTTTGAAGAGTATTTAATAACATGAAATACTCTTTTTTTGTTTGTTTGAGACAGAGTTTTGCTCTTTTTGCCCAGGCTGGAGTGCAATGGCGTGATCTCGGCTCACTGTAACCTTTGCGTCCTGGATTCAAGCAATTCTCCTGCCTCAGCCTCCTGTGTAGCTGGGATTACAGGCATGCGCCACCACGCCCAGCTAATTTTGTATTTTTAGTAGAGACAGGGTTTCACCATATTGGACAGGCTGGTCTTGAACTCCCGACCTCAGATGCTCCACCTGCCTGGTCCTCCCAAAGTGCTGGGATTATAGGCAAGAGCCACTGCACCCAGCCCAATACTCTTAAAAATGGATAAAATTGCATCTATGTAATAATCCAAGCTGGATAGTATCTTTGTGTATACTGTATGACGGACTATGGAAGTCTGCTTTGCTGTTACCCTGGTTCTAGTAAATCAAGCTGTACTGTAATTTATTTCCTCAGTTTCAAAGAAAACTTTTCATTTTTCTGATTTTGAAAGCATTGTCAGTTATTTACTTAATCCTTCCAAATTGCCACTCATTTGCTGAAACCTGTGTTACGACCTCATGTCAGTATTCAGGATACTTGTGTCTTAAGGGCCTAGGATATAAGTTCATCAGAGGTGTTGCTTATATTTTTAGATGACTGACATTAAGTGTCTTTTAGGCAGCAAGGTTTCCTCATATGTAGGTTAGCAATCAACGTTATTTTCTACCTGTAGGCTTTTCTTAATAATTAAGAATATTATATTCTTTGTTCCTAACTTTACAGATTATAAGCACACCACAGAGACTAACCAGTTCAGGAAGTGTTCTGATTGGGAGCCCATATACCCCTGCACCAGCAATGGTTACTCAGACACACATAGCAGAAGCTACTGGCTGGGTCCCTGGGTAAGAGTGTTGCAAGTTACTATTTTTTAAACCGTTAAAAAAAAAAGTTTAGACTTTTTTTTCCTCACTATCTTGTCTTCTGTTCTTGTTTTATTTTAGTCTAGTTCTTAAAAACAAATGTTTTTCCTTCAAAATCGCCTATTTTATTTCACTTTATATCTTAGATATAAATCATCTCTGGAACAACTATTTTTAAACAGAGAAATACCGTACAATAACTTGTAATTAAACCCTGTGACTTTTTAAACTCTGAAATAGGACTACATTTATTATTATAACATTTAACTTTAGAGATATAAAAACTATATTTTATATATTTTTAACTAACATAAAAAAGGCATTAAATATTAAGTGTTGGCTATCCTCAGAATTTCCCCCTATGAATTCTTATTTCCTTAAAAAAGCAGAAAAGGCTAGGAAAAGGGGCCAAATAAAACTTTTATTAAATTTCCTCTTGATTCTTTTTAAACACTGAACAATTGAATCAACCTTCCATGTTACTCATTTGCCACTTGTAGTACAAACTTAAATATGTTTCATCTTTGCCTGTAAAATACTTAGGCCTTTCTCCACTCCTTAGCTTTAGCACCTCATACTTCCATAAAAGAAAAAGAAATAAGATAAGTGACTCAAAACCTCATTTTGTCACTTTAGACATTTTGTTACTTTAGAAGTTATCTACATGGTGGAATACTACATGGTGATTCTATCATATGTGAGTTTGAGCAAGCAGATGGTAAATCTTAGTTCAGTAAGAATCTCCTTGCTTCAGGTATATTAAGTGAAACTAATAATCCTGGCAAGGTGCTTTCCGTTGTGTACATATCAATATACATAAATATATGCACACACATGTACAAACACATAAGTATTAAAGACAGACTCGTTCTGTGTATACATACTTTTCCATTATCAAATGAGCAAAAGTGACCTGTAATTCTGTGGGCATTATTCAACCCTTACAAACATTCTTACGTAGATCTAAGGTTACCTTGGATTTCTGTATGGCCTTGAAAGATTATAACGTGAAAGCCAAGCCTGTGCCAGCAGTGTTGGCCCACTTTGGAAATGGACAGGGTCTGGATGTTTTCAGCCCCATTTGTGCTTTATATTGGAGGTGGCAGGATTGTCTGGTGTTTTATGGTCAGTATTTTGCGGAGTGAATGTAATTTTTCTCTGTCTTGCTTGCAAGTTTCCAGTGTTTTCCTCCCTAACTATTCATTGAGCTGATTTCAACTCATGATTATTATGTTGTGATGTCTCGTTCACATGATAAAATTAAGATTTATTTCATATACCTATCTTTTGTATGTGTCAGTTTTAGTCTTTGAATATATTCAGTGTAGAATTAGATAAGTTATACTAAAGTATTAACGAAATTAAATTGTGTCTAAGTATGTGTTGTTCTTACGCTATCTTTTTTCCTTTTTAGTGATAGAAAACGGGCTAGAGAATTTATAGACTCTGATTTTTCAGAAAGGTGAGTATAAGTCTAAGTATTTTGTTTGAAAGATTTTGCTGTATAGAGAGGTTGTTGGTATTGCGACTACTCTGGTTTTGTGCGATGTTTTTCTTCATGTAACTTAAACTTCATTCAGTTTTTGCCATTATTTCATTCTACATTGAGTGGCCCAGTTCATTCATAGAATCTGTATGGTTTCAGGAGAAATTACCCTGTGAGCAGATTGGCTGTTGATAATATATCCGTTAGTCCCCCTACTCTTTCCTTCTGGGAAATGAGTTCTGTCACGTGAATACTCCACATTACCCTAATAGGCCCAAACTTTAACAAACTTTTCTTTTCTTTCCTTTTTCTTGAGACAAGAGTCTCGCTTTGTCACCCAGGCTAGCATGCAGTGGCATCATCTCAGCTAGAATCTCGTTTTTTGTACCGTTTGCAGTGCAGAGGTGCCACCAATTTTAACTGATAAATAGTTCCATTTTCAGGCCTTAAACATTGCTAAATACATCTGCAAGAACTTGTGCTGTTACCCTTTCCAAGGATAAACACCAGTAAAGACCAGTTTGAGTTGGAAAGAGGACTTTCCATTAAAGAGAAAAGAACATTTCACCATGTATTTCTATGATACGGCAGCTCCTCAGATATGATTGTATCTGTTGAAAACAGTTAAGACCAAGAAGCAAGCAACAAAAGCCACCAAAGAACTGAAACTGCATTAGTGTCAGGACAAGAAAACACACATCCTTTATACGTAGTCTGAAGATTCTCACTCAGAACCTGTTCACTTTCATTTTAGACTGAATTTGCACACACTTGGCCATCTAGTTTCTCAGGGTACAGCAAATTAGAAAATGTAGGAGTTTCTGTCCAGTTGCGGTGGCTCACACCTGTAACCCAGCACTTTGGGAGGCTGAGGTGGGTGGATCACTTGAGGTCAGGAGTTTGAGACCAGCCTAGCCAACATGGCGAAACCCCGACTCTACTGAAAATACAAAAATTAGCCAGGCATGGTGGCGCACGCCTGTAATCCCAACTGCTTGGAAGGCTGAGGAAGGAGAATCGCTTGAACCCAGCAGGTAGAGGTTGCAGTGAGCCGAGATTGAGCCACTGCACTCCTGCCTATGCGACGGCAGACTCCATCTTGCTCTGTCACCCAGGCTGGAGTGCAGTGGCACAGTCACGGCTCACTACAGCCTTGACCTCTTGGGCACAAGCAATCCTCCCACCTTAGCCTCCTGAGTAGCGGGCACACACCACCACCCCTGGCTAGGTTTTACATTTTTTGTAGAGATGAGGTCTCATTATGTTGCTCAGGCTGGTCTTGAACTCATGGGCTCGAGCAATCTGCCTTCCTTGGCCTCCCAAAGTCCTAGGATTACAGGTGTGAGCCACTGTGCTTGGCCAGAATAGACAGTTATTTTCATAACATTTCTACAATTATTTTAATTTTTGAAACAAGCCTGTGTTTATTCTTTAAAATTACTAGCTAAATTAGAAAAGTAAACTTTTATTTTAATCCTTATTTCTAATTTGTGAAATAAGCATCCTGAACTATTTTTTTCGGGAAAAAGCATACCTTTGCTGAAGGTAGCAGCAGTAGTAGTTAACCAGATGTGACAATGGAAGTAATTTAAAGAATGAAGAACAGGCTACTCTGGGCACATTACCTATGGGATAGTCCAGCTCCATGAGGAGCAATGTAAAAAGAAGAAAACGAATGCAATAGTTTGTATTAGTTTTGCTCAGAAACTTGACCCACTCACATGTTGAATTTGGTTTTGTAGCCATAATTGATGATGAAATACATAAACTACAGCATCTTGTTTGCAGAAATATACTGGCTTATGAAACCATGAAACCATCAAAACTTCAGCATAAAAGACAACAAAACATAAGCGAGTTCAAAACCAAAAGAACCATGGAGAAATAATAAGTTGTTGGGCAACTATCACCACTATCCATCTCCAGAACTTTTTCACCATCCCGTATTGAAACTCTTTCCCCATGAAGCAACAACGCTCCATTTCCCACTCCCTCACAGTCCATCTGTTCTGTTTTCTATGAATTTGGTTATACTTTGATTTCATATAAGTGGAATCATACAATATTTATTTATTTATTTCTTATAGAGATGGGGTTTCACCATGTTGGCCAGCCTGGTCTCAAACTCTTGACCTCAGGTGATCCACTCATCTTGGCTTCCCAAAGTGCTAGGATTACAGGCATGACCCACTGTTCCCAGCCCAATATTTATCTTTTTATGTCTGGCTTATGTTACTTACGTCTTTGAGGTTCATCTGTAGTGTAGCATGTATCAGAATTTTATTCCTTTTTAAAGCTGAATATAAGCCGGGCGCGGTGGCTCACGCCTGTAATCCCAGCACTTTGGGAGGCCGAGGCGGGTGGATCACGAGGTCAAGAGATCGAGACCATCCTGGTCAACATGGTGAAACCCCGTCTCTACTAAAAATACAAAAAATTAGCTGGGCATGGTGGCGCGTGCCTGTAATCGCAGCTACTCAGGAGGCTGAGGCAGGAGAATTGCCTGAACCCAGGAGGCGGAGGTTGCGGTGAGCCGAGATCGCGCCATTACACTCCAGCCTGGGTAACAAGAGCGAAACTCCGTCTCAAAAAAAAAAAAAAAGCTGAATATATTTCATTGCATGTATATACCACATTTTATCTATTTATCCATTGGTGGGCAGTTGGGTTGCTTCCACATGTTAACTATTGTGAATAATGGTGCTATGAACATGGGTGTACAAACATCTGTTTGAGTTCCTGCTTTCAAATTAATCTGGGTATATACCCAGAAGTGGAATTACGGAGTCATATGGTAATTCTGTGTTTACTTTTTTGAGAAATTGCGGTATTGTTTTCCACAGTGGCTGTACCATTTTATACTTCCACCAGCAGTGTGCAGTGGGTGCAGCTTCTCTACATCCTCTCCAACACTTCTCGTTTTCAGTTTTTGTTTAGTAATAGCCATTCTAATAGGTATGAAGTGGCATCTCATTATGGTTTTGATTTACATTTGTTTAGTGATGAGTGATGTTGAGCACCTTTTCATGTACATTTTGGCCATTTGTATATCTTTTTGGATAAATGACTATTAAGTCTTTCACCTTTTTTTTTTCTTCTTGAGATGGAGTCTCACTCCCAGGCTGGAGCGCAGTGACACGAACTATAACCTCTGCCTCCTGGATCCAAGTGACTCTCCTGCCTCAGCCTCCCAAGTAGCTGGGATTACAGACCTGTGCCACCACGCCCGGCTAATTTTTGTATTTTTTGTGGAGATGGGGTTTCACTGTGTTCGCCAGGCTGGTCTTGAATTCCTGACCTCAAGTGATTCACCTGCCTCGGCCTCCCAAAATGTTGAGATAACAGGCATGAGCCACGGCACCCAGCCCTTTGCCCATTTTTGAATTGGGTTTTTTGGTTTTTCAGTGTTGTAGTTCTTTATATAGCCTTTTGCCTTTTAGTGTTCTTTAACTAGAGCCATTTTTTGCTTAACTTTCAAAGTGGTTTACTGGATTGGTTGCAGGACCAAATCCCTCATCTGTGCATGGCAGGTGTTGAGTCTTCTAACCTTCCTTGTTGAATTTTAAAGTGTATATTGATTGAGTTTTGGCATGATATTCTATTAACCTTCCAAATAATAAGCTTAATTTCTTGATTCAGCCATTGTTGAGTAGTGCCCTTTGGTTTTCTATTGCTTGAGAAAATTTTGGCAGCTTATGAAGGAGATAAAATCACTTATAGTGTACCATATGTTATATGCATTTCATCCTCACAACTTGTGAGATGGGTATTCTGCATTTTTCAGATAAATGACTGTGGATCAGAGTTAAATAGAGTAAATTGTTCAAAATATGTCTCTGATAGTTTACTGATATTGATATTTAACCATGTTTTCTTCAAGTTTATTATTAATTTAGTGCACTGAACTGATTTTATAAAATTCTTATATGTAGGCTTGTATCTATATTTCAAGAGTATAGCTATCAGCGTTTAATAATAGTTGTTAAAATTATAGTTGTTGCTACTTAAGGACGTTTAGTTTCTTCCTTTAAATATTATCCAGACATGATACAGAGAGCCAGTTAGCCAAATGATTGCCTAAACCACCCTGTCTTATCACTCCCTTTAACAGAAAGACCAAGAATTGGATGAAAAACAACCCTACTTCACTCCTGGCTTTTCAAAAGTATATAACTGGCTGGCCCAAAGGTAGTGAGTTATCTTAATTGATTGTTCACAGTCATTTGAACACAGATTGAACTCATTGTTCTACACTTGACCCCCTTTTCACTACTGTACTTGTGTAGTCTTAAAAAGAAGAAAGTATGTAACCACTAAGTAGAGAAATTATTTACTTTATGCCATTAACTAGTTCTTTGCCTGGCTATATATATAATCCCATACACAACATCATTGTTGTCCAATAAAAATTTTGAAAGAAAAGTTTCACTCTTGTTGCTCAAGCTGTAGTGCAATGGCACGATCTTGGTTTGCCGCAACCTCCACCTCCTGGGTTCAAGTAATTCTCCTGCCTCAGCCTCCTGATTAGCTGGGATTACAGGCACGCATCACTACACCCATGGTGTGGTGTGTGGTGTGGTGTAGTGTAATTTTTAGTAGAAACGGGGTTTCACTATGTTGGCCAGGCTGGTCTCAAACTCCTGACCTCAAATGATCTGCTTGCCTCAGCCTCCCAAGGTGCTGCGATTACGGGTATGAGCCACCACGTCCAGCCTAATATTTTTAATTTAATTCAGTATATCCAAAACATTGTATTTCAATGTGTAATTAAATATAAAAATCACTAGTGAGGTATTTTACATTCATTCCTCATGTTAAGTATTTAAAATCCAGTGTGTTCAACTTAAACATATCTCAGTTCACACTTCCCACATATCAAGTACTCAGTAGCCACATGTGAGTTGTGCCTAGGGGTATTGGACAGTGCTGATTAGGAGGTTTAAAATGCAACTCATAAACTTAATTCGTCTCTTTGATCTCAGTAAATGACCCTTCTTTCTTTTTTTTTTTTTTTTTTTGAGACGGAGTTTCGCTCTTGTTACCCAGGCTGGAGTGTAATGGCGCGATCTCGGCTCACCGCAACCTCCGCCTCCTGGGTTCAGGCAATTCTCCTGCCTCAGCCTCCTGAGTAGCTGGGATTACAGGCACGTGCCACCATGCCCAGCTAATTTTTTTTTGTATTTTTAGTAGAGACGGGGTTTCACCATGTTGACCAGGATGGTCTCGATCTCTTGACCTCGTGATCCACCCGCCTCGGCCTCCCAAAGTGCTGGGATTACAGGCTTGAGCCACCGCGCCCGGCCAAATGACCCTTCTTTCTAGAGGTTATTCTATATTCCTCTCTTCCTTACCTTCCACATCAGTTTTATTGATTTTTATCTTTAAAAATTTTGTAAATCCATCTTTTTGTCTCCTGTCCTACCACTGCCCAGTTTGGGGATTCTTCTATCACCTGGACTATTACAATAGCCTCTCAAATTGGTCTTTGTCTCTGCTTTTGCCTCATCAGTTCCACTTCTACTGTTTAATTCTGATTCCAAAATCTTCTGATTTGCAGTGAGAATGTCTGCCTAACTGAAAATCTCGCCATTCTACTCCCCCACTTATAGCATTCAATATATTTCAGTTATTCCATATGATTTCAAATAAATAGTCTGTGAGGTAAGATACCTATTCTGTCACAAAGGATGCACACACGATTCTTTGGGAATATAAGGAAAAGAAAAAGATATCTGTTGTTTCCTCATATTCCTTTTAAAACTGCATTTTAGTATCTGTTTATATGTACATAACATAGAACATGTAAATTATTTATCAATAAATATATTCACAGTCCCACATCACTTAATGAGGGGATGTGTTCTGAGAAATGCTTAATTAGGTGATTTCATCGTTACATGAACATCATCAAGTGTACTTACCCAAACCCAGAATGGTGTGGCCTCCTACACACCTAGGTACTTGGTATAGCTTATTGCTCCTAGGCTATAAACCTGCATAGTATGTTACTATACTGAATACTATAGGTAATTGTAACACAGTGATAAGTATTTGTGCATCTGAACATACCTAAACATAGAAAAGGTATGAGTAAAAATACTTTGTAAAAGATATTTTTTAAATGATACACCTTTATAGGGCACTTTTCATGAAGGGAGCTTGCAGGACTGGAAGTAGCTCTGGGTCAGTCCGTGAGTGGTGAGTGAATATGAAGGCCTAGGACATTACTGCACACTACTATAGACTTTATAATCACTGTATACTTAGGCTACAGTAATTTATTTTAAAAATATTTTTCTTTCTTCAATAATAAGTTAACCTTAGCTTACTATAACTTTTTTACTTTATAAACTTTTTAATGTTCTCAAACTATTTAACTCTTACAGTAACACTTAAACATAGCTAGGTACGGTGGCTCACATCTGTAATCCCGGCAGTTGGGGAGGCAGAGTGGGTGGATCACGAGGTCGAGAGTTCGAGACCAGATTGGCCAATATGGTAAAACCCCGTCTCTATTAAAAATACAAAAATTAGCCAGTCATGTGGTGGGCACCTGTAATACCAGCTACTCAGAAGGCTGAGGCAGGAGAATCACTTGAACCCGGGAGGTGAAGGTTGCAGTGAGCTGAGATCTTATCACTGCACTCCAGCCTAGGGGATCAGGCGAGACACTTTCTCAAAAAAAACAAAGAGAAACCCACAAACATATTAATGGCTCCAAAAATGCACTTAGATAGAATGAATCATTCCTAGTATTTTGTAATACAATAGGTTGCTGTAGTTAACAACCAATTGATTGTATATTTTAAGTAACTAGAGGAATGGAATTGGAATGTTCCTAATACAAAGAAACAATAGACTTGAGATGATGGATACCCCAGTTACTGTGATTGATCATTACATACTGTACCGCTGTACAAAAATATTTTCTTTATATCCTTATTCCATAAGCTTTTTTCTGTTTGTTTTTAACTTTTTTTTATACTTTTGAAACTTGTTTGTTAAACACTGAGTTGTGGCTGGGCAGGGTGGCTCACACTTGAAACCCAACACTTTGGGAGGCTGAGGTAGGAGGGATCACTTGAGGTCAGGAGTTCAAGAGCAGCCTGGGGAACATAACGAGACCTTGTCTCTACAAAAAAGAAAATAAATTAGCCAAGCGTGGTGACATGCACCTGTAATTCTAACTACTTGGAAGGCTGAGGTGGAAGGATCACTTGAGCACATGAGGTTTAGGCTGCAGTGAGCCATCATGGCACCATTGCACTCCAACCTGGGCAAGAGAGTGAGACCCTGAATCAAAAAAACAAAAACAGAAAACTGAGACACAGAACCAAGTGAAGTGACTCACACCTGTAATCCCAGCTGGGAAGCCAAGGTGGATGGATCACCTGAGGTCAGGAGTTCGAGAACAGCCTGGCCAGCATGGCAAAACCCCCTCTCTACCAAAAAGACAAAAATTAGCCAGGCATGGTGGTGCACACCTGTTATCCCAGCTACTTAGGAGGCTGAGGCAGGAGAGTTACTTGAATCCAGGAGGCAGAGATTGCAGTGAGCCAAGATTGCACCACTGCACTCCAGCCTAGGGGATAGAGCAAGACTCTTTTCTCCAAAAAAGAAAAAAGAAAGAAAGAAAGAAAACTGAGACAGAAGTACACACCATCCTAGGGCTACAGGGGGTCAAGATCATCAACATCACTGTCTTCTACCTTTAAATCTTGTCCCATTGGAAGGTCTTCAGGGGCAGTAACATGCATGGGGCTGTCATCTCCTGTGATAACAATGCCTTCTTCCAGATACTTCCTGAAGGATTGCCTGAGGCTTTTTACAGTTTAATTTATAATCTGAAGAAGTACACTCTAAAATAATGATGAAAAGTATAGTTTAGTAAATATGGTAACCGGTAACATAGTCATTTATTATCAAGTATTATGTACTGTCCATAATTGCACATGCTAGACTTTTATAACACTGGCAGTGCAGTAGCTTTGTTTGCCAGCATCAGGGTAATGCAGTATGCTATGGCATTACAATGTCTACTACATCACTAGGCAATGAGAATTTTTCAGCTCCATTGTAATCTTAGGGGACCACTGTTGTATATGCAGCAAATGACTGTAGTTTTAATTTCAGTAAAAAAAACATATAATCTACATAGAATACAAAAAGGTAAGTATGTTAGCTGTACAAGGGCAGAGTTTTTGTGTTTTTTCACTGACTTATTGTCAGTGTCACTAACAGTGTCTGGCACAGAATAGTAACTGTTCAGTAAATATTTGTTGAATAAATAAATGATGTGCATAGAAAAGCACTCTAACTTCATATTTTATTAGGCCCTTAAGGCAAAAAGTAAGTTTAAATAAACATTTCTCATCTCTATTAAATTTTTGCCACGTGAAGCAAAACTTAAATTACTGTCTTCTTGCATTATCTTACAGAGATTTGTAAAGGAAGTCTCTAATAGGTATAATGGAGTAAAAAAAATTTTTTTCTCTTCTAGTAAACGGAGCAAAAAAGGAGATAAAAATGGCAAAGGCTTGAGACACTTTTCAATGAAAGTGTGTGAGAAAGTTCAGCGAAAAGGTACAACATCATACAATGAAGTTGCTGATGAGCTGGTGTCAGAGTTCACCAATTCAAATAACCATTTGGCAGCTGATTCGGTAGGTAGACCATGAACCTGCCATGGATTTTGATGGATGATGCTACTTCTTTGTGTTACCTGTGTAATAGATTTGAGGAATCAGATAAGCTAGGTGAATGACTATACTTAAGAGTTTCATCCTGTATTTGGGGGGATTTTTTTGTTGTTGTTGAGTTTTATTTTGGAGGGAATTCTTTTTTAGGCGAAGTCTCGCTCTGTTGCCCAGGCTGGAGTGCAGTGGCACGATTTCGGCTCACTGCAACTTGACCTCCTGGATTTAAATGATTCTGCTGCCTCAGCCTCCTGAGTAGCTTGAATTACAGGCGCCTGCCACCATGCCCAGCTAACTTTCGTATTTTTAGTAGAGACAGAATTTCACCATGTTGGCCAGGCTGGTCATGAACTCCTGACCTCAAGTGATCCACCTGCCTCAGCCTCCCAGAGTGCTGGGATTATAGGCATGAGCCACTGCACCCAGCCACCAGTAATTTTTTATATGTTTCTGAATCTTATTGTTTCTTCAGTGTCTAAGTCAACAGGAAAATTTTATTTTTAATTGGAAAAGGAATACAGAAATATGTTTATTAAAAATTCAGTTGCGGCCGGGTGTGGTGATTCACACCTGTAATCCAAGCACTTTGGAGGCCAAGGCGGGCGGATCACCTGAGGTTGGGAGTTCAAGAGCAGCCTGACCAACATGGTGAAACCCTGTCTTTAAAAAAGAAAAAAAAGATAAAAATTCAGTTGTCTGGCAGAGTCTCAAATAAATGGAGTGCAGTGGTGCAATTTTGGCTCACTGAACATGCCTCCCAGGTTTGAGTGATTCTTGTGCCCCAGCCTTCTGAGTAATTGGGAACAAAAATGGCAAGGCCATTTTCTGCCTCTACAGAAAGAAAATGTATTAATTTATTTATATAATTTTTTTTTATTAATTTTTTTATTTTTTTGAGATAGGGTTCTCGCTATGTTGCCACAGGCTGATTTTGAACTCCTGAACTCAAATGATCCTTCACCCTCAGCCTCCCAAAGTGCTGGCATTACAGGCATGAGCCACCATGCCCGACCTCTACAAAAAAAAGTTTTTTTAATTAGCCAGACATGGTGGCACAAACCTGTAGTCTCAGCTACTCCAGAGGCTGAGGAGGATTGTTTGAGCCCAGGAATTCAGTCATGCCACTGCATTCCAGCCTGGGTGACAAAGCAAGACTTAATCTGTTTAAAAAAGTACATATATATGTATGGCTATGACTTTTACTCTTGAGCACTGATTTAGCCCTATGCCATTGATTCTGATATATCATTCTTTAAATATTCTGTAATTTTGGATTGAATTTGTTCTTTGATCTAAGAATTGCCTTAGGAAGAGTTCTTATAGTTACAAGTTTTTTTTTTTCTTCTTTTTTTGCTTATTTGTTGCTTTAAAGTTTTACTTTTATTACTTAACTTGACCAGATAATATGATTTGAACTATTTCCCTTTTTTATGGATTATATTTTTTCCTTGGGCGCCATGATATAGTGATTTTCTTTTCTTTTAATGTTCTGTAGCCACTTGAAAAGTATATAGCATTCTGTTTCTGAGTGAAAGCCATGGTTCTCACAATGAGCTACAAGCCCCTTTGCGATCTTGCCCACCATTACCTCACTGATCTTGTCTTCTGCTGTGTACTTTCTCCTTTACTACCCTCCAGCTACATGTCACTACGCTCTAGCTACATGTTTTGTTCCTGATCAGGCCATTGCACTTGCTGTTCCCTTTGCCTAGAGCACTCTGTGCTATGTGTCCATATGGCTTCTCTCTCCCTGCCTTATGATCTCCACTCACCTGTCACCACAATGAAGCATTTCTTCTTAGTACTTTTCAACATCTAAAATACATTTTTACTAATATCCGACCACCACCACCTTCCCAGGATATAAACAAAGGTTGAGTTTTTCCCCTCTTTGTTCACTGCTTTGTGATTTTTCTGGTGATTTAGGATGCTTGTAGTCTCTAGTTCTTCAGTTGGTTACCTTTATAACTTAAGTTCCTTGAGTTATCACCTGTAGACAGTATCCATTGGTTATGAAGAAAAATGTATGTTTATTTTTGTCTTCCATTTTTCTCTTCTACCATAAGATTCAGATTAGATATATTTATATATTAGTATAATAAACATATATATTAGTATGTTTGTTAAAAGAAAAATAATACCATTATAGGCCAGGCACGGTGGTTCACACCTATAATCCCAGCACTTTGGGAGGCCGAGGCAGGTGGATCACAAGGTCAAAAGTTTGAGACCAACCTGGCCAACATAGTGAAACCCTGTCTCTACTAAAAATACAAAAATTAGCCAGGTGTGGTACGCATCTGTAATCCCAGCTACTCAGGAGGCTGAGGCAAGAGAATCACTTGAACCCGGGAGGCAGAGTTTGCAGTGAGCCAAGATAGTGCCACTACACTCCAGCCTGGTGACAGAGCAAGACTCTGTCTCAGAAAAATAATAATAATACTATTAAAATTGTTTTTATTACTTTAAATCAATAGATAGTGCCAAACCTTTTATTATTATTTAATCTGCTTTGAACAACAGTCATATCCCTTCTAATATCTAAAAGAGGAAATTGGCATACCTACTGCATTTCCTCCTCCTGGTACTGCTTATAGTATCATTTTTTTCTACAATGTCAAGATTTCCCTTTTTTTTTTTTTTTTTTTTTTTAAAGATGGAGTCTCTGTCACCCAGGCTGGAGTGCAGTGGTGCAATCTCGGCTCACTGCAATTTCACCTCCTGGATTCAAGCAATTCTCCTGCCTCAGCCTCTCTAGTAGCTGGGATTACAGGCGCATGCCACCATGCCAAGCTAGGTTTTGTATTTTTTAATAGAGACAGGGTTTCGCCATGTTGGTGAGGCTGGTCTTGAACTCATGACCTCAGATGGTCTGCCCACCTCAGCCTCTCAAAGTGCTGGGATTACAAGCATAAGCCACTGCTCCCGGCCCAGTGTCAAAATGTCTAGTACATTCAGTTCTATAACTTAAGTCTCCCACGTATTTAGATCTAGTTTTATATTTAGGTGGATTCATTGTTCTCCACCATCGTTTGTTATCATTGCATTTCATGAGGACTTTGTTTCACAATGTAAACCAACAGTTTCCTTCATTGAGTAAGCCTTGCTATCAGGAAAAGAAGAAAAAAAGAAAGAAAAGGTCGGCTGAACTGAACAGTGTCCCTTGTGATATAGAGGATTATATTTTGGTACAAGTTCTGAGTCTCATTGTAGATTGGAAACAGTTTGCAGATCAGCAGTGGTCAAGGAACACATTTTGAGAAGCACAGTTTTGTCCAGAACTTGAATAAATGTCCTTGATTTTTTTAAGTCTAAAATCCTCTCAGACAATGCAAAGCCTTAGAATACTTTACCTCAAGTACCTTTTTCAGTTAATATATATGCTATTTGTAGTCATGTATATTAAGTTCTGTATTTATTCTAGACTCCATAAGACATGATTATTGTTTTATACAGTGAGAACTGAGATTTACCCACATACTTAACTTTTGGGTTGGTCTTCATTCTATCCTACATCTCTAAGCTCCCATCTTAGATGATATTTCTTTACCTGAAGTAATCCCTTAAGTATATTTCAGTGTAGATTTGTGGGTAACATGATCTTTATTTTTAAGATTATTTTGTTTTATATTGTTTGAAAGTATTTTTATTTCATCTTTAATTTTGAAGGATATTTTCACAGAATATAAAATTCTTTTGGATGTCTTAGTCAATTAGCTAAATAAAAAAATAGAATTATTCCAGCACTTTGAAGATGTAGTATTAATTTGATATATTAATATCATGTGACTTAACCCTTAAAATTTATCACTCAATAAAATACTTTTTAGCAGGCTTACGATCAGAAGAACATTAGACGAAGAGTTTATGATGCTTTAAATGTGCTAATGGCAATGAACATAATTTCAAAAGAAAAAAAAGAAATCAAGTGGATTGGCCTACCTACCAATTCTGCTCAGGAATGTCAGAATCTGGAGGTAAGTGAGAAAATCTGTTTATGAATAGCTGTTTGCATTATTTTACATCAGAGGCATTTTAATTTAAAATATAATCGTAATATATTTCCAACTGTTCATGTATACTATGTCATTTTTTAACAGACTATAGAATTTTAGAATTGGAAGGCGCCTTATAGGTATAGTCTACAGTTTAACTGGTAAATGATGAAACTGAGAGATATAAAATTTAAATAACAATTTGATTTTTCTGTTTATCTTAGAGAAGATTTTTATTTCATTCTAATTTAATCCTGAGTGCTCTACTAGTACACTTTTTTTGATAAGATGCTGGCTGTATGTATCCAAAAAAAAAAAAAAAGGATCAAGCTGGCTGTTTTATTTCCTTTATTGGTTACACAATATTCTGACTATAGCTGTGAAAGTCAGACTTTTGCATTTGGCTTTAGAACTAGTAGCAACAGAATGAATGGTGTTTCATTTGTGTCGTTACCAGAATGGATAGAATTTTGGAATGATGTGTGCAGAAGCATTTTAAATTCTGTTAACTTTAAGCATTATAGGACCTTCTCCCTAAATGAGCATGTTCCCTGACATACTGTTTCTAAATTGACTTTACGTAATTTTGCTATCATTGCCATAAATGGAGTAAACTGAGGTTAAATATGGCACGGTGGCTCATGCCTGTAATCCTAGCGCTTTGGGAGGCCAAGGCGGGAGGATCACCTGAGGTCAGGAGTTCAAAACCAGCCTGGCCAACATGATGAAACCCCTTCTCTACTAAAAATACAAAAATTAGCTGGGCATAGTGGTGTACACCTATAATCCTAGCTATTCGGAAGGCTGAGGCAGGAAAATAGCTTGAAGCTGGGAGGCGGAGGTTACAGTGAGCTGAGATCGTGCCATTGCACTCCAGCCTGGGTGATAAGAGCAAGACTCCATCAAAAATAATAATAATTATTATATAGCTTTGGGAGATAATTAAGATTGATTTCCTGTTTTTCTCAGTCTTTTTTCCCCCCAGCAAATAAGTTATTTAGTTTTTGTTTGTTTGTTTTTGGTTTTGTTTTTTTTTTTTTTTGAGACGGAGTTTCGCTCTTGTTGCCCAGGCTAGAGTGCAATGGCACGATCTCGGCTCACCGCAACCTCCGCCTCCTGGGTTTAAGCAATTCTCCTGCCTCAGCCTCCTGAGTAGCTGGGATTACAGGCATGCGCCACCATGCCCAGCTAATTTTTGTATTTTTTAGTAGAGACAGGGTTTCACCATGTTGACCAGGATGGTCTCGATCTCTTGACCTCATGATCCACCCGCCTCAGCCTCCCAAAGTGCTGGGATTACAGGCGTGAGCCACCGTTCCTGGCTCTTATTGAGTATTATACTTCTGGATGGAGAAAGAAACCAGATATTCATCAGAAGCTAAAGAACATTTTTTATATGCTAGAGTGGAAATATCCTTCTTTTCTTGTTTTTCTTCCTAGTGATACAGTGGAATTTGAGCATCATTTTCATGATCAGTAATATCGAGCTTATACCAAAGACTCATTAAGCAAAAAAACCTATTCACATCTACCTTGTGCTTAACCACAGGTTATACAAGGCAAATCTCTGACACCAAGAAACTGTCATTCTAACTGGGGAGAAGAGAAATGTAAAAGAGTTACCAAAAATGTGATTACTCCTATGAAAGAAATGTACAGATTCTCCGCAAAGAGGGGTGAGGGAGGGCTTTACCAAGGAAATAATCCGTGAGCTCAGGCATGAGATGGGAGTAGTTCACCAAGTGGATAAGGGTGGGGAGGACCTTCCAGGCAAAGGTGCTGCATGGGCTGAGACAGGCATGAAAAAGCATACCAGGCATGGAGAAAGGGGGATAGAAGCTAAGTGTTAAGCAGTGGGGGCCTGATCCTGTAAACAATGGGAAGCAGTTGATAAATTACAAAGAGAAGGGTTGATAGGATGTGTTTTAAAGGATCACTCTGCCAGTGGGTTGGAAGTAAAATTAATAGGTAGATGGGGAAGGAAATGGAATGGAGGAGGGGAGTTTAGAGAGTCTGAGTTACAGCAGTGGCCCTGAGATTGGAGAGGTGTTTTAGAGGTGGAATCAGTGCAGCTTGACCTGGTTGGATGAGGGACAGGTAGGGGACCTGGCTTGTCAGAGCTTCTGATGCAAGGGATACTCCTACAACATCTTTTCAAATGCAGAACGCCACACAGATTTTCCAGTGAATCTAAGTAATTTAGGAGTAAAGCATGGTAGTTGATAGAGGAACCATGAATGGAAACTCCTAGTACAGACTAGATTGGATGGGGAGTGAGTCAAGAGATTATCCGCTGGAGCAGACAAGAAAAATGTTTTATGTGATGATTGAAAAACAAAATGGTAACAAATTTAGTTTAAAGATTTTATTTAATTGGCTTTTATTTGTGATTCTAGAATCTGGTAACACCTCATTAGTAAGTAGAAAGAATGTTCCTATAAGCTGAGCAGAAGAGGTTAACGTTCTTCAGTGTTTTAAGATAGAGAAGCAGCAAAGGCAGAAACAGAACAAAAAGCAGATTGGACATTTCAATGTCACTTTCCTTGTAAGGTTAAAACAGAGAAGACTCTCTTATCATGCCAGCTAAAACTGGCCTGTTGGGGTAGTTTGCTGTTCTGTCATTCTCTCCTGATTTCCTAGGTCAGATAAACAACTTAGTTTTGGCATGGAACTTCAGCATGAGTGACTCTATTTTAGTTTGTTCTGTTGGGCCTAGTGCAGGAGCTCAGTCCCAATCAATGGGCTCCCATAAATTTTCCTAACAGATGACATTGGCTTTTCCCCAAGGAGACGGTGAGGAACTCAGCTATAAGGAAGTTCAGAACCTAATGTCTGTTTTCTCTAAGTAGTTATCAGATTGAGAGAGAGAGAGGAAAAAAAAAAAAAAAAAGCAGTTGTTTGAAGCTGGAAAATTTGTCTGTCAAGCATGTTTCTTTTCTTTCTTCTTTTTTTTTTTTTTTTTTGAGACAGAGTCTTGCTCTGTTGCCCAGGCTGTAGTGCAGTGGCGCAGTCTCGGCTCACTGCAACCTCCATCTGCTGGGTTCAAGCATTTCTCGCGTCTCAGACTCCCAAGTAGCTGGGACTACAGACACACGCCACCACACCTGACTTAATTTTGTATTTTTTGTAGAGGTGGGGTTTCACCGGATTGGCCAGGCTAGTCTCAAACTCCTGATCTTAAGTGATTGGCCCTCCTCAGCATCCCAAAGTGCTGGGATTACAGGTGTGAGCCACAACGCCTGGCCTAGCATGTTTCTTATTACAAGTAGGAATTGTATATTGAATGTGTGAGATAGCTATTATCAGCTGTACTCATTGGAAAGCCAGCTAAACAGAAACCAAAATAAGATCTTGCCTTATTCTTTGAGGAGTAATATAGCAAAGTAATTAATATAGAGTCCCTGTTGTAACCAGAGGGCTTAGGTTCAAATCTTGGCTCTGGCCATTCACTAGCTGTGTGACCTTGGAAATGGAGCCCTCTATGCCTCCATTTCCTTCCATGCAAAGTGGATAACAACAGGACTTACCTCATAAGGTTTTTTGTGAAGATGAATTAAAATAATGTGTGTAAAATGCTTTTGCGTTGGCAGAGTAAGTATAATCTAAGTGGTACTATTACTTTGATTAGAACTTGAATAATAATTGCAACAAGTACTGCTAACAAGTATTCATTAAGTGTGTGGTTTTGTTTTTGATGACAGTTGCCATAGATCTGATGCTGTGCCATAGATCTGTGAGGGGTTTTGTTCACTCCAACCCCTGCCCCCTACAAAGATGTGATTTGTCTTTATTCATATTGTTAAGATGGGTTGAGTTTCTCTAGGAAAAATTGTTATCTCAGAATAGAGACCTGGAAAGTGAATACTTTATACTCTACCTATGTTCACGTTATTTTGTAACCAACGTTTTAAAGATAGAGAAGCAGAGGCGGATAGAACGGATAAAGCAGAAGCGGGCCCAGCTGCAAGAACTTCTCCTACAGGTAAAGATGTGAGATGTTTTCATTACCTTCCCTGTTTCTCCACTTCCTTCCTCTTGGAGTTGGTGTGTTTTCTAATTGTGGTGCCTCTGAGTGGTGTGTGCCCACACCAGGGCAACCCCTTTCTCCTCCTAGCTCATCATCATCCACGTGCTCTCCCTTCAGATGGTCCCATCTCTTGCCATCATCTCAGCTCCACAGCAGCTTCCCTGCCCTGTGTGTGACTTATACCTGGTGGCAGTTCACTGTTGACACTCAGCCCTCTCTAAACATAAATGTCAGGGGTCTTTTTGTGTTTATTTTAGCCCTAATTTGAAATATCCACTAGTGAGGCTAAATTTTAGGTGCTTCAGGTACAGTAATCAAATCTGCCTTTAATACTTATTTTATCAGTAAATGACAGAACAGCATGAAATAATTCAGTAAGATTTATAGAAATACCAAAACAGGCTGGGCACAGTGGCTCAAGCTTGTAATCCTAGCACTTTGGGAGATCAAGGCCGGTGGATCACCTGAGATCAGGAGTTGGAGATCAGCCTGGCCAACATGGTGAAACTCATGTCTACTTAAAAAAAAAAAAAAAAAATTAGCTGAGTGTGGTGGCATGCACCTGTAACCCCAGCTACTCAAGAGGCTGAGGCAGGAGAATTGCTTGAACCCGGGAGGCAGAGGTTGCAGTGAGCCAAGATCATGCCAGTGTACTTCAGCCTGGGTGACAGAGGAAGACTCCATCACAAAAAAAAAAAAAAGAAAGAAAAAGAAATAGCAAAACTTAAAAGCATTTTTAAGAAAATTAAAGTTTATAGCTTAATAAGGATCTCTATGTTTATACTTTTTTCGGCTAACTTCCCAGAATTTAGAGGGCTTTTATGAGTATAATAGGGTCCTTGTATAAAAGCATGTGAGGTAAAATCACAGGGTAGATGGATTTTTTTTCTTCTATTTTTGGTGACTGCAGTTGGTGTAAAAATTTACTTCAAGTAGTAAATACTGTTGGGCCAATTTCAATCCAATCAGATAAACTTTGTAAAATGAGCCAGAGAGCCTTTATTCTTCTGCTTTTCTCAGCAAAATGTCTTTATATGAAAAATTTTACAACTATTATAAAACCCAATTTGATTTGAATAATTTTAAGTCCTATTTAATTTTTAGCATAATCTACTTTTCAGAAACAACGGTAGCAGTAAGTTACCAAATGTTGTAGCAGATTTTTGCCTTCAATACTCACTTTGTCTAATGGCCCAAATATGTTGTATTCTTAAATACTCCAAATGCTGGCCAGGTACTGTGGTTCACACCTGTAATCCCAGCACTTTGGGAAGCCAAGGCGAGAAGATCACCTGAGATCAGGAGTTTGAGACCAGCCTGAGCAACATGGAGAAACCTTGTCTCTGCTAAAAAATAAAAAATTAGCCAGGCATGGTGGCACATGCCTTTAATCTCAGCTACTCAGGAGGCTGAGGCAGAATTGTTTGAACCCAGGAGGTGGGGGTTGCAATGAGCTAAGATCACACCATTGCACTTCAGCCTGGGCAACAAGAGCAAAACTCTGTCTCAAAAAAAAAAAAAAAACATATATATATATATATATATGTATATATTCCAAATGCTTTCTGATCTCATTTTCTAGGTGCTTACATTTGCTTTGGGGTTTTGTTTTGCTTTTTAATATTCATGTGTAAATCAGAGAAGCACAAGAAGACAGTGTAGCCCTTCCAAAGCTCTGTGGTTGATCTGAGTGTAGGGAGAAGGAAAGGAAGCAGGGCCCGGGCAGAGGAGAGCAGCCAATAAAGCAGGGACTTTGCGAACACAGAAAGTCCCAGAGATGACAACATTCCATCCTCGTGAGGCCATTTTTCTCTTTCTTACTGTGTTCTGTGTCTGGTTTTCACACTGAACCCTGTGGGACCTACCTGAGGAGCTAGCTAGTACTGGACCAGGAATTTTATATACTTTTCATACCGAGTTTCCATGTAAAGTATTGGGCTAGGTGTGGTGGCTCATGCCTATAATCCCAGCACTTTGGGAGGCCAAGACGGGAGGATCACCTGAGGTTAGGAGTTCGAGACCAGCCTGGCCAACATGGGGAGACCCTGTCTCTACTAAAAATACAAAAATTAGCCAGGCGTGGTGGCAGTCACCTGTAATCCCAGCTATTCGGGAGGCTGAGGCAGGAGAATTGCTTGAACCTGGGAGGTGGAGGTTGCAGTGAGCTGAGATCGCACCACTATACTCCAGCCTCGGTGACAGAGTGATACTCTATTTCGATACATACACACACAGACACACACACACACAGACACACACAAATGGTTTTATTTGAAGAGAATATTGTGTAGCTTTAAAAAAAAAAAAAAAAGAAAAGCTAAAACTGACAGTTTATTCCTGTGCTCCTACCAGTAGAATTCTACCAAATGTACCTCCTTGAACTCCTGTGCTGTCATCTTCTTCCCCTGGCTGCCTCTCCGTTGTCCCTGTCCCTGCATAGTTATCTGCAGTATCCCCTAGCAGCTGGTGCCCCAAACCCTGCACTGGGGCCTTCCTGGAATTTCCTCAAAACCATGGAACATTTTGGAGCTTAATTTTTTTTGGCGTGTTATTTTTAAAAACCTGTTTATCAGCATGCCTACAGTTATCTGCTTATCAGAAAGAATGGTGCTGGGCAAGATTGCCCTCATGTGTGTGGGACCTTTCCATCTTTAGATGCCTGGTGCAAAGAATGAAATTGAATATTTTTTTCTCTGCTTACTTCTGTACCATGAATATTATTATTTTATTTTTTTAAGTCCTGAACTTCTTTTTCTCTACTGTCTCTCAAACCAAATATTTATAGAAGATTTCCACCCAGGGGCAGCCTAGCTGTCAACATTTATAGAAACATCTCTCTCTAAACATTAAAATGAAACCCAAAATACAACTGAAACCAACTTGTGGTCTTCTGGTAAACATAAAATGTATTTCCGAAGGTCGGGCATGGTGGCTCACACCTGTAATCCCAGCACTTTGGGAGTCTGAGGCTGGTGGATCATGAGGTCAGGAGTTCAAGATCAGCCTGACCAACATGGTGAAACCCTGTTTCTACTAAAAATACAAAAATTAGCCGGGTGTGGTGGCACATGCCTGTAATCCCAGCTACCTAGGAGGCTGAGACAGGACAATCGCTTGAACCTGGGAGGCAGAGGTTACAGTGAGCCCAGGTCACGCCACTGCACTGCAGCCTGGGTGTTTATAAGTTAATGTCACAATTCACTGATGTCATATGACATAGGTAACTATTACCTACATGCTACCACCTCTCTTTTATTTTTGATAATGTAGTTGAGAAATGATGTGAGTAAAGCAACCCTGTAGATAATCCACATATCCTTTTATCAATGTAATTGACCCTTCCAGTCCTTAAACTTTTTCCATAACAAATGCATAGGAAAATGAATGAATACACTTAAAGCTGTTCAGCCTCTGGAATAGATGTTAATGAGTTTTAAAAAGAAAAAAAGGCCAAAGAAAATCAAAAGGCAACAAATAAGTCAGTTCAAAATAAGTGGGGTGTTATTTTTCCTTTTGCTATCAAAATAACATTATGTGGTATATGAAATTTGTGAGTGTTAAAAAAAAAATTATGGCAAGGCACGGTGGCTCATGCCTGTAATCTCAGCACTTTGGGAGGCCAAGGGGGGCAGATCACCTGAGGTTGGGAGTTCGAGACCAGCCTGACCAACATGGAGAAAGCCTGTATCTACTAAAAATACAAAAAATTAGCTGGGTGTGGTAGTGCATGCCTATAATCCCAGCCACTTAGGAGGCTGAGGCAAGAGAATCACCTGAACCCGGGAGGCGAGGTTGTGGTGAGCCAAGATGGTGCCATTACACTCCAGCCTGGGCAACAAGAGTGAAACTCCATCTCAAAATAATAATAATAAACTTTAGGGTTTTACTGCTCTCTTCACTTGAAAAACCATTGATACTATTAAATGTACACAGCATTAAACAGTGAATTACAAATACATCATAAGGGCCATTAGCTATCACTGCTTATATTCACCCATATACCGAAGTCCTCTTGTGGCACTAGGGACACCAAGCTAGGCAAAGTGTGGAACAGCTCTTGAGATGTGTAGTCTAGTGAAAGGGAAGAGAAGCTATGCAGGGATATTCAAGCATTTAATTCTTTTTCTCAGTGCCACAGTTTCAGCATAATTTGTCCTCATTATTAAGTGAATTAAGCAATGAATTAGTTCTTTAGCAACAGAAAATAACAAAGAAGCGTAACTTTAATAATACTTGGTAATGATATTGACAGTGCTAGTTATTGATAGTGATTTTGGGATACACTATTAGCGCTACAATGAATTGGCGTCCATTCTTTTATGTGCATTTCAAAAGAGTAAATGTTCCCTTTTTGGGGAGATAGCACTCAGTCATTTTAAGATAATAGCAATCTTCTCTTTTCTCTTCCCTTTGCCTTTCTCTTTCCCTTCCCCTTCCTGTCGCATTGCTTTCCTTCCCTTCTTTCCTTCTGTTTTTTTTTTTTTTTTTTTTTTTTTGGGAGACAGAGTCTTGCTCTGTCACCCAGGCTGGAATGCAGTGGCACAATCTCGGCTCATTGCAACCTCTGCTTCCAAGGTTTAAGCGATTCTCCTGCCTCAGCCTCCCAAGTACTACAGGTGCATGCCAGCTGTCTAATTTTTGTATTTTTATTAGAAACAGGGTTTCACCAGACTGGTCTTGAACTCCTGACCTTGTGATCCGCTCACCTGGGCCTCCCATAGTGCTGGGATTACAGGTGTGAGCCACTGCGCCCAGCCTCTTTTTTCTTTTCTTTTTATTCTTGAGAAAGGGCCTCTGTTGCCCAGGCTGGAGTGTAGTGGCACAGTCATAGCTCGCTGCATCCTCGAACTCCTAGGCTCAAGAGAACTTCGCACTTTGGCCTCCCAGAGTTCTGAGATTACAGATGTGAGCCACTATGCCTGGCCAATAATAGTAATCATAGAACCTGAAGTAAACAAGACTGATCTTAAGATTGCTAAAATGTAAAAAATATATTTATCACTACTGGGTGACAAGATGTAACAAGCTAAGAAGGGGAATGAATGGCTCTGACGAGTAACTTTTAAATTAAAACGTTATCTGCTTCTTGAGTCTGAAATTCTGTTACACATTTGCCTTATTTAAAAAAAAAGAAATCTTGTTTTGAATACTGGAAAAAAAAAGGAAATCACTTTTTTTTTTTTGAGACAGAGTTTTGCTTTTGTTGCCCAGGCTGGACTGCAATGCTGCCATCTCAGCTCACTGCAACCTCTGTCTAAAAGGGAGATCACTTTCTTTGGCTTTTGAGTAATGGTTCTAACTAAAAGTAGCAAGCAAGATCCAGTAAAAAGATTTAGGCCTTGATGTATCTTATAATTAGTGCTGAGCTTCAGTTGCCTCATTTGGAAGTGTCTGGTGAGGGAAGGCTAGGGCTGGATTCCAAACTGTGCCCACAGGATGCTGAGACGTTTTGTGGAAGTGCCTTAGAAACCATGTGGCTATGCTTGAGGGCAGAGATGGCAGAGCTTAGCACCCAGCCTTACTGCAGCCAGCCTGAACAGTGCCACTTCCATCTGTTTTAGGTGAGACTTTTTAAAATTTTTTGTGTTTTGTTTTTTGAGACAGGGTCTCACTCTGTCACCCAGGCGGAGTGCAGTGGCATGATCTCTGCTCACAGCAAATTCTGCCTCCTGGGTTCAAATAATCCTTCCACCTCAGCCTCCTGAGTAGCTGGGACTATAGGCACATAACAACACGCCCAGCTAGTGTTTATATTTTTTATAGAGATATGGTTTCGCCATGTTGCCCAGGTTGGCCTTAAACTCCTGGAGTCAAGCAATCCACCTGCCTTGGCCTTCCAAAATGTTGCCATTACAGATATGAGCCAATGCGCCTAGCCTCCAGTGAGAATTTATTTGAAAAAAGGATTTTGTGGCTTGAAAATGTTCGCATATCCCTGGGCTAGACATCCTGAAGTGCATATTTGACCCCAAACGCTCAAGAGTCTGTGTTAAATAAATGGTGTCACCCTTGCTGTGTCATTTGCTGAAGAGTTCCAGGTGTCTACTGGCTCTCTCCCAGATTGTGAGGTCCTGTTTCTATGGATGGTGGAAAAATGTATTTATTGAGTTGGACCATTCTTTCTTAAATGTTTAATTTTTTAATTCATTCATGCAGGGGAGATGTCTCTTTAAACTGTCTTATTTTAAACTATATTTTAAAAGTATTATCTTAATTCTTTTAAATTCCAGCTCACTTATGTACATTTGACCATATTCTTTTTATTGATCATTACAGCAAATCGCTTTCAAAAACCTGGTACAGAGAAATCGACAAAATGAGCAGCAAAACCAGGGCCCTCCAGCTCTGAACTCTACCATTCAGCTGCCATTTATAATTATCAATACAAGCAGAAAAACAGTCATAGATTGCAGCATCTCCAGTGACAAGTGAGTGGAGAACTAGGGGATGGGTGCAGGGCTGGCCTTCTGTTCACATAGTCGTATCATTTGCAAACTCAAGAGGGACGTACTCCATTATCTGCAGCCCTCCAAGGCTGGCTTCCTTGGGGCACATGAAACACCTCCTGAAATACGGGTGCAATCGTCTACTCGTGTGTGCGCCACTCCTCACCCTCCATGGTCCCTTGTGTTGTGCCAGGCACTGTGCTATCTGTTATGTGTGTGTGGCGGTGTCTGGGCACAAGCTATGACATGCTGCATGTATGTGGTAACTCTGAGCAAGTAACTGTGGTAAGCTAGCCCAGCACTGTGGGTCTGGGACAAGGTAGATTCATTGGTGATTCACTGTCATAGTTTATTATGGAAATATTTTAGGCCAACATGTGGCATTAAAGCAATTATTTGTTTTGCTATATCAGTTATGCATGCTTCTGTTTATTAATGAATGTATGAATAGACGTGGAAATACCTGGCACATTCTTTGCTTTCTTTAAATTGTTTTTACATTTTAACTAAGATTAATGGTAATATTTAGCATAGCAAATAAGTAGTAGCACTTTTCAAAATACAGAATTAATTTGCGATTTATTTTACCATTCACGAAAAAGTTTCTCAGTGGTCTTCAGGCTGTGACCAGTACCATAAAAGAGTTAAGAGTATGTATAGGGTGCAGAGTGAGACAGATGCTCATACAGGTGGTGGCTCCCCTGTCACTGCTCCAAAGCTCTGTTTTCTCAAGAACAAATAGGAATGATTTTGGGGCTCCTATCACTTCCCAGCCTTGTTGTGAGGATTAAATGAGTTAATGTCTCTAATGACTCAAGGCAAGCACTTTTTAAATGTTCACTGCTGTTACAGAAGGTCAGTCTATAATTTATTGTTCAAATTGGGATGTTAATGCAAAAGAAGACTCTAATAATTGCATCAGTACCACAGGTGTAACCCAGAACTGTCCCAGGGAGACCGGAATTCCGATTCCCCCAGAGCTGTGGAATTGCTCTTGGTGTTCACTGCAACTTGTTTTTCTCACTCTTCTTACTGGCGCTCTTGCGCCCCCTGCCTGTCTCTGTTGTGTCCTGAGATTCCAGGCTACTTCAGTAAGAAGCCACACACATGAAAGAAGAAAAACAGTCTGCTGGGCGCGGTGGCTCACGCCTGTAATCCTAGCACTCTGGGAGGCCCAGGCAGGTAGATCACTTGAGGTCAGGATTTCGAGACCAGACTGGCCAACATAGTGAAACCCCGTCTCTGCTAAAAATAGAAAAATTAGAGCCAGCACAGTGGCATACACCATTAATCCCAGCACTTTGGGAAGCTGAGGTGAGCAGATCACCTGAAGTCAGGAATTCAAGACCAGCCTGACCAACATGGAGAAATCCTGTCTCTATAAAAATACAAAATTAGGCCGGGCGCGGTGGCTCACGTCTGTAATCTCAGCACTTTGGGAGGCCGAGGCGGGTGGATCACGAGGTCAAGAGATCGAGACCATCCTGGTCAACATGGTGAAACCCCGTCTCTACTAAAAAACTACAAAAAATCAGCTGGGCATGGTGGCGCGTGCCTGTAATCCCAGCTACTCAGGAGGCTGAGGCAGGAGAATTGCCTGAAGCCAGGAGGCGGAGGTTGCGGTGAGCCAAGATTGCGCCATTGCACTCCAGCCTGAGTAACTAGAGTGAAACTCTGTCACAAAAAAAAAAAAAAATTAGCCAGGCGTGGTGGCACATGCCTGTAATCCCAGCTACTCTGGAGGCTGAGGCAGGAGAATCGCTTGAACCCAGGAGGCAGAGGTTGTGGTGAGCCAAGATCACACCATTGCACTCCAGCCTGGGCACCAAGAGCGAAAATCTGTCTCAAAAAATAATAAGAAGAAAAATAGCTGGGCGTGGTGGTGCACACCTGTAGCCTTAGCTACTAGGGAGGCTGAGGCAGGAGAACTGCTTGAACCCTGGAGACAGAGGTTGCAGTGAGCCAAGATTGCACCACTGCACTCCAGCCTGACTGACAGAGCGAGACTCTATGCCAAAAAAGAAAAGAAAAGAAAAACAGCAGGAATTTCAAAACTATTTGATAATTAAGACTATAGACACAAAAAGAAATGGAGACCATGATGGTTATGAAGTAAAACAGATCCAATTTTTTTTTAATAGTGGATTCTCGCTGTTCTTACTGTTGCCCAGGCTAGAGTGCAGTGGCTCTTTCCTGGCACGATCATAGTTCACTGCAGCCTCAAACTCTTGGACTCAAGCGGTCCCCCTGCCTCAGCCTTCCTAGTATCGGGGACTGCAGGTGTGCACACCTCCTTGGCCATCTAAAACTGATCCTTTTTTTTTTTTCTGTTTGAGGTAGAGTCTCATTCTGTCAGCAGGCCGGAGTGCAGCGGTGTGATCTGGGCTTACTGCAACCTCCACCTCTTGGGTTCAAGCAATTCTTCTGCCTCAGCCTCCCGAGTAGCTGGGACTATAGGCACGCACCACCATACCCAGCTAATTTCTCTATTTTTAGTAGAGACAGAGTTTCCCCATGTTGGCCAGGATGGTCTTGATGTCTTGACCTTGTGATCCGCCCACCTCAGCCTCCCAAAGGGCTGGGATTATAGGCCTGAGCCACCTCGTCTGGCTGCTGATTCAGTTTTTTAATCTTGTAAGTTTCTTAACCTCTCTGAGATCATGTTCCTTTCTCCATGAAAATAAGAATTATAGTATTTACCTTGCCAGTTTCCAAAAGATATGGATAAATTAATATAGAACCCAGGACAGTGGTAAGTGGTAGATATATGAATTATTTTCCACACACTTGCAAATTCTTTATAAAACATATGTTGGCCGAGGCGGGTGGATCATGAGGTCAAGAGATCGAGACCATCCTGGTCAACATGGTGAAACCCCGTCTCTACTAAAAATACAAAAAATTAGCTGGGCATGGTGGTGCGTGCCTGTAATCCCAGCTACTCAGGAGGCTGAGGCAGGAGAATCGCCTGAACCCAGGAGGCGGAGGTTGCAGTGAGCCAAGATTGCACCATTGCACTCCAGCCTGGATAACAAGAGCGAAACTCCGTCTCAAAAAAAAAAAAAATGTCAAAGAGGAACATTAACATAGTCTCAGAAAACTGAGAATTCAGGCTGGGCGCAGTGGCTTATGCCTGTAATCCCAGCAGTTTGGGAGCTTGAGGTGGGCAGATCACAAGTTGGTCAGGAGTTCGAGACCAGCCTGACCAAATTAGCTCTGGGTATGGTGGTGCGTTCCTGTAATCCCAGCTACTCAGGAGGCTGAGGCAGGAGACTCTCTTGAACCTGGGAGGGGGAGGTTGCAGTGAGCCGAAATCGTGCCACTGCACTCCAGCCTAGGCAATAGAGCAAGACTCTGTCTCAAAAAAAAAAAAAAAAAGGAAAAAAGAAAACTGAGACTTCTAGAAAATGGTTAGCATTTTTTCAGATAAAAAACACAAAACTTAGCATTCTAGTTACTCTCTCTAGCTAGTGTCTTGTTTTGTATGGAGAATTATACAATTATTTTCTTAGGTTAGTCTTTTAAGTCTAAAAAGAATGACAGGAAAATCTGAGAATCATTGGCCCAGGGGAATTATGGACACTGTTCCCCTAGGCTGGAATCTGGTGAGGTTTCCATCTCTTGGGTGGTCCCTGACTCATGCCCTTTCCTGGCCCTCCTTTGAGTGGAGGGAAGGAGGTTCTGAGTAGCCTGTACAAGCTTATTATCCAAGGTAAGTCCAAAAACCCTGTCTTTCAGTTACTTTGGTGATGCAATCTTTTCCCGTAATTAGCTGGGAGGCTTTCCACAATGATTACATTTACAAAACGATCTGCTTTTAACAGATGCCTGAAATCATCCCTGGGGTAGCTACCTACTTCAGATTTTATTTTTTCTAAAAAGTTTAGATTACTTAAATTGGCATTTTGCTTCAAATTATAATTTTTGCTCCTAAGATAATCTGTTTTTCAAATTATCTTAGGATAAAAAGTTTTACCCTCACATGATTTTAATAAAATTTCATGACCAGGTGAAACCTACTGCTGTCCCTGAACCCTGTCCCTGTAGGGCTGAGGCCAATGATGAAGGTGCTCCAGCACTAGCCTAGGAGTCGGAAGAACTGTGTCTTCCTTCTTTTGCTTCTTGATTGAAATGTTATGCTGGGCTGCTGGGGAGCTAGGCATCTAGTTTGGGTACTTTTCAAGCATATTTGGAAATGTGCTGTGTATTACATGTGACACTTTGACACTCTTAAAACATGTTACTGCTTAGCCTCTCAGGACAGGATTTGGGGTTGTTTTCATTTGTTGAAAGTCTGTTACTTATCTAAAGTAGGTCGTAGCTAACATTTGACTCATGAAAATGAGGTAAGCATTCAAAATATTTTTTTCCTCAAAGCTAACAGGCTGACTTGGACTAGGGTTATTGTAATATTAAAGTAGAAAGGCTTTTCTTTTGTGGCAGAGCTCTAGGCAACTTTGAAAAGTACTAGATTTAGAACAAAATTTCTGTCTGTTTGCAACAGCATTGGGGCTAAAGTTAGTGAATTTCTGTCGTCTTGTCAGAGGAATGTTGTTTTAATTGGGAAAATGTTTTATTTGAGATGTCATTCCCCTGACAGAGCAGAATGACTCATGGCTCTAAATGGTAACAATTGCTAGCACCATGGCTGGATTTAGGCCCGTATTCTGTTACTTCAAGTACAGAATACGAAACTATTCAGACCTTAGCACCACCAGAAACCCTTCACTTTGTTTCCTAACGCAGGTTTGAGTATCTTTTCAATTTTGACAACACCTTTGAGATCCACGATGACATAGAAGTACTAAAGCGGATGGGAATGTCATTTGGCCTGGAGTCAGGCAAATGCTCTCTGGAGGATCTGAAACTTGCGAAATCCCTGGTGCCAAAGGCTTTAGAAGGTTATATCACAGGTATGTTAACTGATGCTTTCATGTGTTGTCCCTGATTAAATGTTGAATACAAACTTGTTAAAACCTTTCTCATAGAAAATTGCAGATTTTTAGAACATCTGTGCTTGTATGGACAAAATGAAACTTTTAACACTTTAATTTAGGACCATTTTTTCAAAAATTAGATTAAATAGATTGTTTCATAACATTAGTAACTTACATCTATACACCACACATTATATATTGTTACATCTAAATTGGCTCACTCAGCACTAAATTTGGCTCTTCAGAGAGATCTTGTATCTGTAATTCCCAGTATCTAGCTCAGAGCCTAGTTAGAGTAAGTAAGTAAAAGCTTGATGAGGGGGAAAAAAAAAAAAAAAGCTTGATGAGGGAGTTTTAAAAAATAATCTTTTAGTGCCCTGTGGATATTTCAAGGGAAACTTTGGGTAATTTACAAAAGAATGTAGGTAGATCCTGGTTGGGTGCAGTGGCTCACACCTGTAATCCCAGCACTTTGGGAGGCCAAGACAGGTGGATCACCTGAGGTCAAGAGTTCGAGACCAGCCTAGCCAACATGTGAAACCCTGTCTCTACTAAAAAAAAATTTTTTTTAATTAGCCAGGTGTGGTGGTATGCGCCTATAATCCCAGCTACTCGGGTGGCTGAGGCAGGAGCATCCCTTCAACCCCAGAGGTGGAGGTCACAATGAGCCAAGATTGCGCCATTGCACTCCAGCCTGGGCAACAAGAGTGAAACCTCATCTCAAAAATAAAAAGAAAGTAGGTACATCCTACCTTCCTCTAATGGAAAATTTAATATATCTATTATCTGTCCACACATAAGATTAAAAATATCATTTGATTAATTGAATTCAAAGAGGAAGAGTGTACTAAAAGTTTAAGTGTCAGGGGAAAAAAGGGCAGAATAGGATAAACCTGGATTCACATTTGTGTACGTGGCTCCTCTTTTCTTTGAGACAGAGTCTCACTTGGTCACCCAGGCTGGAGTACACTGGCATGATCTCGGCTCACTGCAACCTGCTCTTTTCGGGTTCAAGCGATTCTCCTGCCTCAGCCTCCCGAGTAGCTGGGATTACAGGCAGCCACCACTATGCCGGCTAATTTTTGTATTTTTAGTAGAGATGGGGTTTTGCCATGTTGGCCAGGCTGGTCTCAAACTCCTGACCTCATGATCTGCCCGACTCAGCCTCCCAAAGTGCTGGGATTACAGGCATGAGCCACCATGCCCGGCCTCAGTTGTTTTCTTTAGAGATACAACTAAAATGGTAAACTAGAAATAATGTATTATTTTGTTTTGCCTATTTCTGGCCTCTGTATAAACAAAATCATAGTAATGTATTCTTTGGTGATTGATTTTTTTTTCACTCAATATTATGTTCTTTAGAGTCATCCATGTGATTTAATGTAGATGTAATCATACATTTTTACTTCTGTAAAATTCCATTATATCAATACATCACAGTTTATCTGTTCATTTTACTAAAAGTAAAACTTTAGTTTGTTTCCAATTCCTTGATGTTAAATTACAGTGCTGCTTTGAACATTCCTATACTGTCCTAGTGACCACATGCAAATGTACGGGTTGAACTTGTTAGGTCAGAGTTGGATGCATTTTCAGCTTTGCTAGATGATACCAAAAATTTTCAATTTGATTTTACCAAATTACACTTTCCCCAGCAGAGTAGAAGTGTTGTATTTTCCCAATCAGGTGGGTCTGAAATGACACCACTGTAGCTTTTGAGATTGAATTCACGTGCCATAAAATACACCATTTAAAAATGCAGTTCAGTGGTATTTTGGTATGTTCACAAAGTTGCTAATCGTCACCACTAATTCCAGAAAATTTTAATTTAAAAACTCAAAAAGAAACCCCATTGCTTATAGCCATTACTGGAGATAGTGAGAAGAAAAAAAAAGCAACCCCAAACCTATTAACAGTCTCCTATTTTCCCATTCTTCCTCAGCCCCTGGCAACCACTAATCTACTGTCACTATGGATTTGCCTATTCTAGACAGAGGTTTTTTATAAATGTTATCCTACGACGTGGGCATTTGTGTGTGGCTTCTTTCAGTTAGTGTAATGTTTCAGGGTTCGTAGCATCATCAGTACTTTAGTCCTCTTTATTGCCAAATGGTGTTCCATTGTACAGGTGGACTGCATTTTGTTTATCCATTCGTCAGTTGGTAGACATTTGGACTGTTTCCACTTTCTGGCTATTTCAAATGATGCTGCTGTTAACATTCTTACAAAAGTTTATGTGTGAACATGCTTTTAGCTCTAAAACATACACCTAAGAGTGAAATTGCTGGATCATACGGTGACTCTGTGCTTAACATTTTAAGGAAATATCAAGCTGTTTTCCAAAGCTCCTGTACCATTTACAGGCTAACCACCAATGGATGAAGCTTCCAATTTCTCCACATCCTTCTTTATTTATTTAGAGATGGAGTCTCACTCTGTCGCCCAGGCTGGAGTGCAATGGCACAATCTTGGCTTACTGCAACCTCCACCTCCCAGGTTCAAGCAAGTCTCCTGCCTCAGCCTCCTAAATTGCTGGGATTACAGTCACCCAGCACCACGCCCAGCTAATTTTTGTTTTGTTTTGTTTTGTTTTGATTGAGATGGATTTCACTCTTGTTGCCCGGGCTGAAGTGCAGTGGCATGATCTTGGCTCATTGCAACCTCTGTCTCCCAGGTTCAAGTGATTCTCCTGACTCAGCCTCCCAAGTAGCTGAGATTATAGGCATGCACCACCATGCCTGGCTAATTTTGTATTTTTAGTAAAGACAGGTTTTTGTGGTTTTTTTTTGTATGTTTGGTAGAGATGGGGTTTTGCTGTGTTGTCCAGGCTGGTCTCAAACTTCTGAGCTCAAGGTTTCCACCTGCCTTGGCCCTCACTGTAACTGATTTGCATTTTCCTAATAACTTCCGATGTTGAGCATATTTTCGTGTGCTTATCAGCCATTTGTGTATCTTCCTCAGAAATATGTCTATTCACATCCTTTGCCTTTTTTTTTTTTTTTTTTTAAGATGGAGTCCTGCTCTTGCCACCCAGGCGGGAGTGCAGTGGCGCAAATCTCGGCTCACTGCATCCTCCGCTTCCCGGGTTCAAGCAATTCTCCCTTCCTCAGCCTCCTGAGTAGCTGGGATTGCAGGCACCCGCCACCACGCCTGGCTATTTTTTGTATTTTTAGTAGATTTAGAAGAGACAGGGTTTCACTATGTTGGCTAGGCTGATCTTGAACTTCTAACCTTGTGATCTGCCTGCCTCAGCCTCCTAAAGTGCTGGGATTACAGGCGTGAGCCACCATGCCTGTCCTCCTTTACCAATTTTTTTTTTTTTGAGACGGAGTTTCGCTCTTGTTACCCAGGCTGGAGTGCAATGGCACGATCTCGGCTCACCGCAACCTCCGCCTCCCGGGTTCAGGCAATTTTCCTGCCCCAGCCTCCTGAGTTGCTGGGATTACAGGCACACGCCACCATGCCCAGCTAATTTTTTGTATTTTAATAGTAGAGACGGAGTTTCACCATATTGACCAGGATGGTCTCGATCTCTTGACCTCGTGATCCACCTGCCTCGGCCTCCCACCGTGCTGGGATTACAGGCTTGAGTCACCGCGCCCGGCCTTCCTTTACCCATTTTTAAGTAGAGTTACTTGTATGTTTTTTGTTTTTGTTTTTTTTTTTTGCTGGTGGTGGTGGTGGGGGGTTGTTCTGTTCTGTTTTGTTTTGTTTTGTTTTGAGACAGGGTTTCGCTCTTGTTGCCCAGGCTAGAGTGCAATGGCACTATCTCGGCTCACTGCAACTTTCACCTCCTGGTTCTAGCGATTCTCCTGCTTCAGCCTCCCAAGTAGCTGGGATTACAGGCATGAGCCACTACACCCAGCTAATTTTTTGTATTTTTGTAGAGATGTGATTTCACTATGTTGGCCAGGCTGGTCTCGAACTCCTGACCTCAGGTGATCCATCTGGCTCAGCCTCCCAAAGTGCTGTTATAGGTGTGAGCCACTGTGCCTGGCTGAATTACTTCTTTTTATTATGAGTTGTAAAAGTATGCTGAGTATACTTGAAAATCAAAGCACTATGTTTTACATGTCCTATAATTAAGATTTTTTTCACTAATTTAGAAATCTTCCTGATTTTCCTAATTCCTGAAAATATTGCATATTCTGCAGATACAATTAGACTGTATAGGTGGGGTGTGGTGGCTCACGCCTGTAATCCCAGCACTTTTGGAGGCCGAGGCAGACGAATCACTTGAGGTCAGGAGTTTGAGACCAGCCTAGCCAACATGGCAAAATCCTGTCTCTACTAAAAATACAAAAATTAGCCAGGCATGGTGACACTTGCCTATAATTCTAGCTACTTAAGAGGCTGAGGCAGGAAAATCACTTGAACCTGGGAGGCGGAGAGCATATCGCTGCATTCCAACCTGGGCAACAGAGCGAGACTCTAAGAGAAAATGAAAATTGAGTATATAAACAATGTTTTTCCCTTTGCTTGCTTTTGTTTCTTTCATTTATAAGTATAACCATCTAGAATTTCCATCACTTTTTAAAGGCATTTTAATACTAGTTCTAAGATATATTAAATCCAATGTCAGCAAAAAGGTAGTTTTAATTTTGTTTTATTCTATGGTTTGGCCCTTTGCTCACAATAGAAGAGTTTGTTGGCTGAGATTTGGTTTCTCTTTTAGTTTTTCGGTTGGCATCATCCATCCCTGCAAGCCCCCGCCCCCGCCTGTCCTTGTCCCACCTGTTCGTTTCCCCACCCAGCCCTCCTCTCCCCACGCTCTCCAGCCTGGGTCCTGCTGTGTCATTGGAAGGCCAGCAGAATCTGAACAAAGGGCTTACTCAATAAATCACCAGAACTGTATTTTAGCTTATTCCCAGTGAAAAGGCTCAGAGTGATTAGGCAGGCTCTGTGGTTTTGATCTCTTTGTGACCTCATTTTGCAGACTGGGATACAGACTTTCTGGTTAGTTCAAAGGAAGAAACATGTGCCTCTCGTGTGTAAAGAGGCAGAACGGCTCTGGGTGAGAGTGTGAGAATCATTGTGTGGATCCTGTGATAATGGGAAAGAAATGTAGGCTTTTCCAATCCATTATAAAAAGAGAATGTAATGTGTTATGCTCACAAACAAGTAAATAGCTATGTTCTGACAGAAGGTTTCCATAGTTCTATATACTAATTAATATTCAGCACGGGACTCTGGCTTTAATTTAATTTTCTTGTACAGACTTGTTGTTATTTAATGTATTTAGAGTCTGCTATTCTTCTTAGACTTGAAGTCTGTTTTTTTCCACAGCTGCCTCAAAGAAAAAGGTTCATAAGACAATTCTAAAATTAGCATAGTCATTTAGTTTACTTTTTCCTACATGGGAATGGCCTCTTAGTTGGATACTAGAGTTTCCAATCTAAATCATATAGTTTCAGTTTTTGTAGAGTGATCGCAAAAAGGTTTGTATTAAATTAAATCATAGCTCATTTTGGCAGATTACATTTTCTGAGTATGTGCTTGGGCTTATAGAATATCTTTTTAGGAATTATTTTTAATGTATATACTTCTTATTTCATAAAGTGGCAGCTGACAGAGATTATACTCATTCATTTTGTAATATGTAGTTGTATTTTTTTAAGGCAGTCTTGCTCTGTCACCCAGGCTGGAGTGCAGTGGCACAATTTCGGCTCACTGCAACCTCCGCCTCCTGGGTTCAAGCAGTTCTTTTCCTTCAGCCTCTCTAATAGCTGGAGTTACAGACATCTGTCACCATGCCTGGCTAATTTTTGTATTTTTAATACAGATGGGGTTTTGCTATGTTTGTAAGCTGGTCTCGGCCTCCCAAAGTGCTGGTACTATAGGCATGAGCCACTGTACAGTTAGATCTTATATGTTCCAGTTATTGCGTTCTTTGAGCTAACACTGTAGATGGGATGATAAAAGTATTAAACCAGTAAAATTACAATAAGAATTGATCGTGTTGTGTTGTCATAGGAGAAATGTGGTGTTATATGTGTAGAAAAGATGATGGCAAGGAGATATCCAAAATATTTTGTTATTTTTGAGATGGAGTTTCGCTCTTGTTGCCCAGGCTGGAGTGCAATGGCACAATCTTGGCTTTCTGCAACCTCCGACTCCCAGGTTCAAGCAAATCTCCTGCCTCAGCCTCCCGAATAGCTAGGATTACAGGCACACCTGGCTAATTTTGTACTTTCAGTAGAGATGGGGTTTCTCCATGTTAGTCAGACTGGTCTCCAACTCCCGACCTTAGGTGAACCGCCCACCTTGCCCTCCCAAAGTGTTGGGATTACAGGCGTGAGCCACCGCGCCCAGCCCAAAATTTCTGTAGACTAAAACAGTAAGGTCTGTCGCCCCATCATTAAAAACATGACTGGATGTGACCTTTTTAAAATAAGAGCTAGTCAGCCAGTGCCCGGCTAGCTCAGTCGGTAGAGCATGAGACTCTTAAAATGATAGCTAGTTTGAATTAGGAAACAAAGGACACCAGGAAGAATCTTGTCAGGAAAAAAGAAGAGGTGTTTTTCATAAGTAGCAGCACTGAGTTTACCAGCAGGCACCCGAAAAGACAGTGTAGTGTGGGTTCTGGCCAAAACAGATCTGTCTGCCCTGAAGCAGGGTGGCCTTCTTACCTCAGGTATTTCTTCTTGTGTTTTGAGACAGAGTCTTGCCCTGTCAACCAAGCTGGAGTGCAGTGGTGTAATCTTGGCTCACTGCAACCTCTGCCTCCTGAGTTCAAGCGATTCCCCTGCCTCAGCCTCCCATGTAGCTGGGACTACAGGCACCTGCCACCACACCTAATTTTTTTTTGTTTGTATTTTTAGTACAGATGGTGTTTCATCATGTTAGCCAGGATGGTCTCGATCTCCCGTCCTCATAATCCACCCACCTCAGCCTCCCAAAGTGCTGAGATTACATGCGTGAGCCACTGTGCCCGGCTTACCTCAGATGTTTCTGATTTGACTTTCTCTGTCCCCACTCCTGGCTTTGGCTCTTAACCCCGAAGTCCAGGTGTTTAGTGGTGAGGGCACCAGGCATTGAGGATAGTACACTGGGCTGTGCCCTGAGGGCTGGGCTCTGGAGGGCTTACCTAAGAAAAAAAATAGTAAAGTGTCTGTGGAGTGTTTTCATTTTAATTCCTTCTCTCCATAAGCTTCCTACCTGTATTTTTTTCTTTATTTTATGTTCTAGAACTTTTTTTTTCTTCCAAGAAGATGAGGAAACCTGGGTTCTTCTCAGAGCGAGAGAACTGTCTAATGAAGAATAAGCCTTGCCCTTGCTTTTCTCTGCTTGCTTCAGACTAACAGCAGCAGCCACAGAACTTGCAGGACTTAAATTTTTTGTTCTCATTTTTTTCCTTTAGATATCTCCACAGGACCTTCTTGGTTAAATCAGGGACTACTTCTGAATTCTACCCAATCAGGTTCAAATTTAGACCTGACCACTGGTGCCACCTTACCCCAGTCAAGGTATGTATTGTTTTCAGGGTTAGAAAGGCAAACCCCAGAGCCCTGACTGACTGTGTCGGGGTGAGCCGGGCTCATGTTGCTGCCAGCGCAGGTCCTGTTGAGCAGGTTCGTGGCAGATCTCACCAATGGCACCTCCTTCCTGTCTTTTTATTCCTATGTTTTACAAAACTGTTTCTACCACATTAATAAGCCTGTGTGTTTTTAATTGTTTGCTAGTGTAAACCAAGGGTTATGCTTGGATGCAGAAGTGGCCTTAGCAACTGGGCAGTTCCTGGCCCCAAACAGTCACCAGTCCAGCAGTGCAGCCTCTCACTGCTCCGAGTCCCGAGGCGAGACCCCCTGTTCATTCAATGATGAAGACGAGGAAGATGACGAGGAGGATTCCTCCTCCCCAGAATAAAGACAAGAGAAAGCCTACGTCGTTTCAATATGTGATGCTCATGTGTGTTTGTAGTGTGAGCTCTTGTTTTTGAAATGATTGCTTCAGTCTTTGCCTTTGTTTGCACTGTGTTCAGTGAAAACTAGAGAAACACAATAAGCAAATCACACGAAGGCTGAGATGATTGAGATGAAAGTTAACAGTGTAAATGAAAGTCTGACCAACAGCAGTAAATGGTATCACAAACAAAGCATGTTTTCTGAGGAGATAGTGGGGAGAATCCCTGAAGAGTTGGCAGTGTGAGTGTAGCTCATTTATCTTCTGTGAGGTAGAATTTTTGTGTTCCTCACACCCATGTAATTATTCTTAGAATTGAGATTGTTACATGGAGCAGTCCTTGATGATTGAGTTCTTGATGTTTCCCTTCCCTGCCTGGACTGCCTTTGACAAGGTGGAAAGGAACATGAAAAGTCCCCAGTAGGGGGAGCTGTGTATTGAGGGATCCAGAGGGCAGTCCTGTGGCCGAGGGGCACAGATTGAACTGCTGAATTAGTTGGAGGTCTAGTTGAGGTGCTTTACGCATCAGCTGCCTTAGACAGCTTCTAGAAAGGAGCGAGCGCTACTTCTTAAGTACTTAAGCGACATTTAGATAATTTATAGTAAAACTGAAATTAATTATCATTATTAGCCAATGCATTGGTACATAGAATTTACTAGGGCTACTTCTGGAAGCCAAAATAGAATAGCATTTCCATGTACATTAAATACTTTGCCCGCACTGCCTTTTGCCAGCATCCTAAATCTGGAGTTTTACAGAGAGGGAAACTGTATCTTTAGGTTAATCAAAGCTATGCATTTCATACAGCTTTTTTATTTAAAACAAGACAAATTCCTATGACCAAATTGCTTACCTACAGTTCCCTGCAGTAATTGTGTGATCTCTCCCAGTGTGCAATTTGTGAAAATGAACCAAATGTCATTACTTTTGTCTCAAAGAAAAGTCTATTTCAAGAATATGAACAGCACTGTTTCCTTGTACATGTCACCTTTTTTTCACATTTTCATTAATCAGAATGACCTTATTGAGCTGACTCCTGGGTAAACTGCATTTCAAACTAATCCGTATTTAGTGTTTCACTGAAACACTGGAGAACACTGGCCACTCCTCTGCCTGGATATATGGTAGTGCAGTATGTTGTTTTATGACTAAAGATGTCATTAGAAATACTGCAGTGGTATATTCACAGCTGCTGCTCCTCTGAATCAAAGTGTAGGGACATCTGCCACCGTGGCCAGACCCTGACAGAATTTCACATTAAGGCCTTGGAAAGGAGCAAATAATAATGGGAGAGTTAACTCCAAAACTTTGACCTGAATCATATGGCTTTGTCCCAAGATGATGCTAGATGCACCAAGCATGGCCCAAATTGTATCTTTTCTATATCCCATGGGGGAAGTACAGGCTCCTTCCTGTGGTGACTTTACAGCCCTGCCACCATGGTGACTCTAAGCATAGTGAGGAGGAGGACACTTTGCCTAGCTAAACATGTTTACTAAGGCCTTAAAAACTGAAAAAGAAAAACATACGACTTTAGCTGAAGCTCCTTTGATAGAAAAGTCTCATTCTGTCAGAAATAAACCATAGTACAAACTCAGACAGAGGCAGTTTCTAGAACTCGGTCTTACTGTGGGTTCTGGAGTACACCTCTCAGACCAGTCAGGAACACCGAGGAGGCGACAGCAGGTCCCCAGGGGCCTGCAGGGGACATTTCTGACATTTCAGCAGCACAGATCAGGATTTCCTTCCAAACCAAACTATCCTTTAAGGGGCTGCCTCCTCTTTTACTAACTCCACTCTTTCTCATTTCTGGGACCCAGCAGGGACCTGGAGAGGCCAGCAGCCACAGCTACCTTTGTAGTTTTCAAAATATTGAACTGCAGGTCCCAAGATGAATTTCAGGATTTAAGACAGGTACACTAATGGTAACCATTCCTTCACTAGATAGCAAAATTCTTGCCAGAGTTCTTGGGAAACCTGTTTTCTTCTCTGCTCTCCACCTCTGCTGCTCTCATGCTTTAAAACGGTAAAATACGGGCTTAAAAAAAGCCACCAAAGACTCTTACCTTATTGGTGCCCCGTCATTGGCCTCCGCAGTCCATAGGTGCGTGGTGTTGGTGGGAGATGGCCTCCGTTCCTCAGCGTTGTGTTCGAGTTACTGTTGAGGCCGGTTCACAGAGTGGCATCGTGGTCACCAGTACACGTTGCTGGAATAAAACCTTGCCTTTAGAAACTAGGTTTGGCTGCTTAGAAATGCCAATTCACTTGTTCTTCTCTCTCCCCCTAAACATTTATCTTGGTCTAAAGCTCAGCACTGAGCCACAACGTCACACAGAATCAAAATGAAGCAATGTTAGGAAATCGTGGGCTAGGTATGGCGGCTCTGGCCTGTAATACCAGCACTTTGAGCGGCCAAGGCAGGCTCATTGTTTGGGCTCAGGAGTTCAAGACCAAATGGTGAAACCCTGTCTCTACAAAAATACAAAACTTAGCCGGACATGGTGGGACACACCTGCAGTCCCAGCTACTCAGGAGGCTGAGGTGGGAGGATCACTTGAGCCCAGGAGGGAGAGGTTGCAGAAAGCCAAGATTACACCACTGCACTCCAGCCTGGGTGACAGAACAAGACCCTGTCTCAAAAAAAAAAAAAAAAAAAGGAAATTGTGGTCACAGTGCCCAGGCTTCGTTACAGTGGCATGCCGGGTCCCTTGCACATACACAGACCACTCCTCCCAGGGGTGCTGGGCACACGCTGATTGTGGGGGAATTCAAGAGGCCTTTTCCCCTTGAGGACAAGTGTGGCTGTCACCCAATCAAGTGTGTGGCATCATTCAGTGAGGAAGTGCTTTCTCTAGCACATGCACAGTGGCACTAGGACCTGTCTGTCTCACCCTCAGTGGGAAGGACGGTACCACCTAGGCACACAGCAGCACTTACGGGCCTCAGGTGCCTACCATCTGAGGTAGGCAGACATTCCCCGCTGTCAGCCTGTCTCCTTCCCCTTCCCTGCTGTCAGTCTGTCTCTTCCACATGCTTATTTCCTGTGGTGAGAACAGTTTGTATACATTGTGTCTTAGGATCAAGGTGGGCCTCGGAGGAGGGTGGGAAAGGAGGGGCTGACATGGCAATCCTGTACCCCTCAGTGATGCCCACTGCCCCAGAAACTAGATGATGCCTGCATGTTTGGTATCCTTAAATTTAATTCTTTAAAGAAGTGATGGGGAGAAAACGCTGTGGTTTCTGCCATTTTAGCAGGATAAAGAGGATAACTCCCTCCATTAGCCAATTTTACAGTTGTAATGGTACTTTGCCATACTTGAAAAATCATGCCAGGGTCAGTCCTGGAAAACAAGGTAGCTCCTATCAGTTCAAATGGAAGTATTTCACAGAGTGGCTCAGTTTAGCCCTGCAGACATCTATAACTTAACTGTTTGCTAAACCACAACTCTTTCTGGCTATTTGGGTCATAGAGACAGTAAAGCTGCTCCAAGTGTAGTTGTGACTTAGGCTCCCGCCAGCACCGTGTGTGTGTTGGGCATGTGGATTAGCAGAGGATGAGAACTGCCTCAGCTCTTCAGTAAGCACACACACAGAGAGGATGTGGGGGAGCCTATTTAGCTTTTTAAGTGATTTCATTTCAAGGGTCCTTTAATGCCTATCAAGCTCCCTCCCCTAACAAAATGGGCTGTCCCTGGCCAAGTCTTCCAAGTAGACCTTACAACTGTGCTGCTCCCTTAGTGGTAAGCAGGGGGTAGGGGTTGGCCAGTGAATCTTAGATTTCATCCTTCATTCAGTCAGCATCTGAGTACCTACTGTGAGCAGGCACTGGGGTGGAACAGCGACAGCCCTGCCAGGTTAGGTTCTCAACCTGCTGGGGAAGCATGATCACAGAGGGATCACGTGCAGATTGAGGAGTGCTGTGGGCATACAGCAGTGGAGTGGGACCGTTGGGGAGAGGCTGCTTTGGCTGGGGGTGGCCAGGGAAGGCCCCTCTAGGAAAGACAGTTCTCCTGAATCAGATGGTGGAAAGACAGATGTCTCTATACTTTCTTAACAAGCCACTCTGCCCCATGACATGCATTTGGAATCTCCTAAGTTCCAAAGGCCCCACTGTTGTGGTTTCAGGCCTTCATTTTGGAGTCTGTTAAGGAACTTTTAAGACTTAAAAGCAGGCCGGGCGCGGTGGCTCACGCCTGTAATCCCAGCACTTTGGGAGGCCGAGGCGGGTGGATCACGAGGTCAAGAGATTGAGACCATCCTGGTCAACATGGTGAAACCTCGTCTCTACTAAAAATACAAAAAATTAGCTGGGCATGGTGGCACGTGCCTGTAGTCCCGGCTACTCGGGAGGCTGAGGCAGGAGAATTGCCTGAACCCAGGAGGCAGAGGTTGCGGTGAGCCGAGATTGAGCCATTGCACTCCAGCCTGGGTAACGAGCGAAACTCCGTCTCAAAAAAAAAAAAAAAAAAAGACTTAAAAGCAAAGTTAGCTACCAGCAGTTTCCGTAAACCAAAGAAAGGATTCTAACAAAGGTTCACTATTTTCCAACTAAATCTATGCGTAGAAACATGATTAGAAAATACAAAAATTTGCCGGATGTGGTGGCACACGCCTGTAGTCCCAGCGACTCATGAGACTGAGGCAGGAGAATCGCTTGAACCCAGGAGGTAGAGGTTGCAGTGAACCGAGATCACGCCACTGCACTCCAGCCTGAGTGACAGAGTGTGGGACTCCGTCTCAAAAAAAAAAAAAAAAAAAAGAAAAGAAAAAAAAAATGGAGAACTATTTTATGTACTTTTTCTAAGTTGTTGGCTACAGAATAGATCATCTCTATCCTGCATATGGGCTTGTTTTGGAGAAGCTGAGGACTGGATTTCTATGAACCATTTTCCCAAATGGATTCCCATATTCATGCACCCAAAGCAGTGGTCCCCAAGCACTGATGAAAAATAATCTGCACTTCCCAAACACCCACACTATGTCAGGAGCTTGCACCATGCCATTCCAGTGATCCTCAGAAATGTGCCTCCCTGCTGTCAAATTCCCAGTTGATAACAGTGTTTGGCCAAACTTCCACTCAAACCAAACATTGTTACTAAGAAGAGAAAAGCCTGATGTTTGCATAAGAGTTTTGTTTTCCTCAAGGAGTCTTGCTCTGTTGCCCAGACTAGAGTGCAATGGCACGATCTCAGTTCTGCGTCCCGGATTCAAGCCATTCTCCTGCCTCAGCCTCCCCAGTGGCTGGGATTACAAACATGAGCCACCACGCCTGGCTAATTTTTGTATTTTTAGTACAGACAAGGTTTCACCATGTTGGCCAGGCTGGTCTTGAACTTCTGACCTCATGATCCGCCCCCCTTGGCCTCCCAGAGTGCTGGGATTATAGTCATGAGCCACCTCGTCCAGCCTAAGATTGTACGATAAAAAATTCAAGCTCAATACCCACATAAATTATAGCATTTCGTAGGAAACAGTCCCTTAACCAAAATGTCTCTGAGAAGTTATGCTTAGATAATCGCTGGGATCCAATTTTCCCACATCTATCTCCACAGTATATTAAGGAAGAAATAGTGGGTGAGCACAACACTTTGACAGTCTGGCTAAGCCCTGGGAGTCCCTGACAGGTCCAGAAACTTGTCTGACACCCATTCACCAGGGAGCTGAGATAGGAAAAAGTATGCATTTATAATGTGTATTCTGTGCACCTGTTTTCAAACAAGGCCGGATCTGTCATCTTAGCTTTTGCTTTTTTTTTTTTTTTTTTTGAGACAGAGTCTTGCTCTGTCATCAGGCTGGACTGCAGTGACACAATCCTGGCTCACTGCAACCTCCTCCTCCTGGATTCTATTGATCCTCCTGCCTCAGCCTCCTGAGTAGCTGGGCTTACAGGTGCCCACACCACCACATCCAGCTAAGTTTTGTATTTTTATTAGAGACGGGGTTTCACCATGTTGGCCAGGATGGTCTTGA